TTATTGGTCTCAATCTCAGGCAAAGTCTCTGGACACAAGCAAAATACTGACAAACTTTGTACTAAGCTATAACATATATCATCTGGAGTCTAACACCCACTGCATCCTTCCCAGCAGAGGTTTAGTATCCGTCCCACTGTGCAGTTGAGACCAAAATGTTGCTTAACTCATCACACAGCAGGCTTCTACATGTCAGTGTATTAGAACACTACCCACGCCTGGCCGGTAGGGACAGTGTGTCCTATGCAGTGGTCACCCTGAATTACCTAATTGGAGCAGATTTTTGACAGCTTTGTGGTTGTCATTCAATTCAGGTCCCTGCATATATTTCAGCAAGACAAAGCCATCCAATTTTGTACCAACACTAAAGCAAGACATCAAGAGAAACCTTCCTTGGTATTAGTGGGGACTTCTACACCTACCCAACAGTGGGAAGCACCATCATCCCTTGCCCCAAAAGGGCCCATGAGACCTCATTATTTGCCATTACCCCAATTAGACAATTCAAAAGTAAACAGGTGATCCAGATGCCTGTCACCTGCTGTAATCAACCATCTGTTCTCATTTTTGGTGTGAATCTCTGAAAGCAGCCTTTTGGCCCAGAATAAAACGCTGGTACCATATACACAAGGGGAAAAAAACAACTCTATTTGAGTGGGTCTGGGCTCAGAGAAGGCTTATTAAAGCTAGAGATAACCTCCAAAAAGTTACTTTGGAGGAGGGGAAAGGATAAGAGGGTAGTTCTTTGTCCAGAATATTAAGCAATATTCTGGAAGAGGTTTGGGAAAAAGCCATCCTTTGACAGAGTGGCTACTACTATTGGAGGCAGGCATGAGATCTTGATTGGCATGGACCCCAAGAGCAGATGAGAGGAGATTTGGCCAACTCTGGAGCAGAGAAGTACACCCAATGTGCAAAGCCCTTACACTTGGCTGCTGTGGGGGCTGTAAGAATTACTTGATGGGGTCCAACCCATTTCGGGAGCAAGGGAGTCTAATGATGCCCATATGTAAACCCAGTCCTCCTGTGTCAGGAGGGTTTGAATTCGTTAGACAGTGGGACAGGTTTTGGGATTTGAGTCTCAGTAAATGAGTCCCCGTTAGTTAGGGAATCAAGTAGGGGAATGAGAGGTGAAGGATTCTGGGCCAGCAAGACATTACAGTCCAATTATTCAAAGGATCTCAGTATAGCAGAGCTCTCACTTGAGGATGGCTAGTGGTAGGGGGTAGACTTATTGCTGTTGAGTTTGTGCAGTAAGTTTAGTTAGTCTGTTTTTTAAAAATCCTGTTCACCTTTTCTACTTTTCCCAGTGACAGAGTGTGATGAGAAATACAAAAGTGCCAGTTTACATTAAGAGATTTCGCCAGGTGTTGAGAAACCTGAGAGGTAAATTGTGACCCATTATCTGACTGCCGGCGATCCAGGAGCCTGAACTTCAGTTAGAAGGATGTTAGCTACAGTAGAACTCTTTTACTGGTTGTTGGGAAGATCTCTGTCCATCCGGAAATTTTATCTACCCAAACTAGTAGATAACACATTCTTTTAATGAGGGCGTAAGAGTAAAGCCAATTTGCCAATGTTCATGGACAAGTGGCCTCTCGCCTGGTGTGTGGGGAAAGGTAGGAGGCAGATGTTAGTCTGGAGGGAGGTTCATTGACAGTGGAGCAATCTTTTGGGTGGGGTTAGGTATATGTGTGTCTGTAAAACAAAATGGATACGGGAGAGAGATCCTGCATGACATGGGAACTCAGCTCAGCAAGGAGAGGCATGTGAGAGTGTGGGAGGACTAATTCTCTGTGTAAGGATCACCACAGCTTACGAAAGTGGCTTCTTTCTCCCAAGGCATTTATTCCTGCTCTTAATGTAGGCTGGAAAGACTGATAAAGGGAACCATGTCTAGGTAGAGAGAGGGGGCTCCAGGTCACCTTTTCAGCCAGAGACTATGGGAAATTATTTCTGGCTTTGCTCATAAGGGAAGGAGCTATTTGGGTGGGGCCACTTTCTAAACCAGATCATCTGGCATGTGGCACACCTCTTATCCCTTTGATGGCCCCTGCACGTCACTGCTACCTTGGCTGGAAGAAAGGCTACCTGGAATGGCCATGGATCAGCTCCCCACTTACAGTGAGCATCCCTTTGGCTGATAAAATATATAATCCTTTCTTACCAGATTTGTGCATTGGAAGGTAAGCTATTGTAGGCATACTTAGAATCAGGATGTTTGCTAACAGTCTCACTCTGTGCTAAAGTTAGCACTCTGGTTAACACAGTAAGCTTGGCATGTGTGCGGTGGTAGCATTTGGAAGGAGAGCGGCTTCCATCACTTCTCTGGAGGCAAAGCACATTCACTGTCATGACAACTCTCCACCATAGTATAAGCAGTCTGATAAGGAGATAGAGGCACTGCCATCAATAAACAAGTCAGAGACTCCTGGATATGGGTAGAGGTTAGTTAGATGGTGAAAAACTGATCAAGAAAGCCCACTGTCTCAGGGCAGAGATGGTCGTCAGTACTGAGCTGTGTGCCAGCTTCAGGCATTAGAACAGCAGAGTTTACAGGGAGCTAGAGTACAGCGTAAGACTTAAGTTCCGGAAAGAGAAGGGTTGGAAAGCCCTGTGGCTAACAGGTCTGGCAATCTATGAGAGGACCAAACGTGAAGAGGCCAGTGGAAAGTTATTTTCTGAGCTTTTGTGATTAGGAGGGCAGCAGTTGTCCAGTTTAAGGCCAAGCAGCCAGCTCTGGTTGTATGAGGAGTATAGAATCCCCTGTAGGTTGTGCTGAGTCCCGGGGCCTGAAGTCTTGTGGCATGGATACGGGTTGCTAGGATTCGGGAGGGGTAAATCAGGGCTTGGTTAGGGCCACTTCACTCATCAAAGGTGCACGTTAGCATCAGGTCCGGAATGAGGAGTTTTTAGGGTCGCCCTCCGAGGAGGCATCATAGAGTGGTTTGGCTGTGATGGCAACATTACAGATCCACAACCTTAAGCCCAAAAGAGAGAGGCCAGTGCCTTGGCACTTGGGGAAAGGTAGGGAGGGGATTGTGGGCTTCAGTCCTCTGTGGGTGGCGGGGGCAATATGGAGACCCAGGTACATCAGAGAGGACAAGCTGGGATTCGTGTCTAGACATCTCTAACCCCTGTCCGCTAGAAAGTTGAGGACAGTGATCAGAGCGTGGCTTATGTCCCTGTTGAAGCCACAGAGAAGGAGACCATCAATGCGTTGGAGGAGGACACTAGGGCTCAAACTAAGGTCGGAAAAGTCCATTTGGGGAGCTCATTCAAAGAGATGAGGACTGTCGCCTACTTCCTGTGGCAGCACTGTCCAGGTCAGCTGCCGGACAGAATGAGAACGAGGACTGGCCCAGGTAGAGGGATCTACATGAGCTGGAAAGAAGGCATCTCTGAGAAGTGCGGACTGAGAAGTGTGCTGTGTTAGGGCAGGGGGGTCCAGGACAGGTGACTGCACAGGCTGGGGAACACAGCATGGACGGGGCCACTGCAGTACTATCCTGCGGGCCTCTTACCCGTCTCCTAAGCTTTGTTCCTGCCCTACTCACTGTTCCTTAGGCCGGAGATCGCCATGATGTCTTTTTTTCTTATTATTATTTTTCTTTTTCTTTTTTTTTTTTTTCTTTTTTTGTCTTTTTCGTTTTTTTATCGGTACCAGGGATCGAACTCACGACCGCCTGCTTACAAGGCAGGCACTTATGCCGCTGAGCTAAATCCCCAGCCCCACCATGGTGTCTTTATGAACACTGGCTTCTTTGCCTCCAAATTAGTCTGAACTCCCCCAGTGAAAGAACAACTGGCTGCTGCTGGATTTGTACAGAGTTCATATTCACAGAATCCTTAACTCCCTACCAAAGAGAAATCTCTGCAAAGTAAAATACCTCTTTTATATCCACAGCTGTGAAAATTCTACCTGGTAAGATAAAATGCTTACTGCTCAGTTTCAAAAAGCCTTCTGTATTCTTTCCAGAGGAGGAAATCTGGTCAGTTTTGCTGTTTTAAAAACCTGAGAAGGATAAAACTTTACAAATAACTCCAAAACATCCATAGTAGGTATTTTAGGAAACTTCTAGAGAAATATAAAATCATACTGTTTAATTTTCCTAAGTACATTTATTATTAGACTTCAACTGTTTGAAATCTGTGATGTGTCACATGGTATACAGTACTAATTACCCCTCACTTCAGCCACAATCCCAGGAAGTTTTTCCACAAATACATCACAGTAATCACAGTCATGGAGGGGCAGTGACCTTCTGTGTAGGGTGGGCCCTTGGACATATCACCTAGTGACATCACTTCGTCTTGGCTTGTGGACCTGACCCTGTTACCATCGTGTCACACCCATTTACCCATCACATTTCCACATGGCTGTCCTAAGAATACTGCTGGGCATAGTAGCACACGTCTGCGATTTCAACATTTAGGAGCCTGAGGCAGGAGGAATATAACTTTGAGGTCAGCCTGGATTAAAGTGAGTTAAAGCCAGTCTGAACTATATAGCAAGACCCTGTCGCGAAAGCAAAAACAAACAAAAACTCTTAAGCATAAAATGGAAAGTTCTCCCTGGGTCTCTGGGTCTTCCTTTCTGAATGCTCTCAAGTCGTGTAAAATGTGGACTAAATAAAACTGCTATGCTCTGGTCTTCTTGACCTGTCTTCTGTTGAAGGAGTGTCAGCTGTGACCTTTCCGAGAGTGAGAAAAAAGAATCCCATTTTCTCTCCAGACACTAATAAATAGTCCTGCTGAGCTCATTTTGTTCTTAGAAGCAGACTCACCTTCCCTGGGACCTTCAAGGTTACCCTATTTTGCCTGAAATGGACAAGGCTTCTAAGAATTGCTTCTAAGAATTGGGTCCTCACTTTGTAGCCCAGGCTGGCCTCAGACTCACAGTGGTCCTCCTGCCTCAGCCTGTCAAGCGCTGGGCTTACAGGCGTGACACCACCACACCAGGATGCTTAGGTGTTCTTACTTCTTTTCCTTCTTTCCAGGCAGGAAACATGTAGGAAATCAGTGGAGAGGAAACTGGTGGGAAATCATTCTTTTCCAGGCAGCACAGAATTTTTCTGGCCTGTATTTTCCTGGTTCTGTTCTTATGTCTGGCCTAATCACAAGGACATTCTGATAAATTTTACAACCAAGCATCTGAGGCCAATCTCTGTCCTGTCTATGGACCTTAGCAATTCAGTGTTTTTCCAAAAGAAATTCTTTCATCTACTCTGTAATGCTTCTAAATTGAATAAATAAATCCTACACCAAATTTTATTCTGTTTCAGAACATGTATCAAATGGATGGGTTGTTCTTAAATCTGTCCCTTTTTATCCCAAATAAGTTTGTACTGTAAGTAAATACTGTAACAGTTTTGCTATAGGAAGAAATACAACTTCCGAGCTGGTAGATGTCAATGTGCCACATTCGTGGGCCCACAATATTGAGGAGCAAAGCTTCAAACCAAAAGAAGAGGAGGGAGAGTTTCCTGCTAATAAGGATGTCTAGGTGGTGTGCCGCATGGCGTGGCTCCGAAGGCCCTTTGTCTGGGGAGGTTTACACAGCAGTCACAATGTGGGGACAACATGGGTCAAATTGCAGCCAACACACAGGATTCCATGGACAGCCACTTAGCTACACTGACCCAGAGGGAAACAAGTCACATAGCATGGAAAAGGTGCATGGAAAGTGCAAAGGCGTTTTTGGGCAGAGAAAGGCACAGATGCTCTGGTCACCCACCTGGATGACTGATGCCTGTGTGGCCTGCTGGGCCAACAGGTACTGATTACAGTGTAATCTCAAGTTACTGCTCACCCTGTCCCGAGGCCCCACCTTCTTCAGATGCACCCCCAACCACTCTTCTGATGCCTGTGTTTTTGTGCAGACCTCCCTGAGAGCCCAGCCCGTCTCTGACTGTACGTTAATTTTTATCCAACATAACTGCCTATAATACTTTCATAAAGCCATTCTCCAATGGCATTTTCTTCTGGTGTGGCTTGCCATGCCATCAAATACCACGAAGATTAGGGCTGTCCAATACTTTCACTTTTACAGGATGCCACTTCCACAGACTCTCACTGAGAGGATGTTCTTTTCTTTACTACACATTATTCCTGTATTTATCGATGAATAATGCATAGCACATCAGAATTCATGAATTATTTAAAGTTTCTGATTCTCATTAATTATATCCTCTACATTTAACCATTTTTTGAAGGAGTGATGTCTTAGTTTTTTTTCTCATTGCTGAGACAAACTACCTGACACCCAAAGTTATAAAGGAAAAAAGGTTTATTTAAGGTCATAGTTTGTGGAGGTTTCAGTCCATAATCAGCTGGGTCCAAGGCAGGGTAGCTTGGCAGAGAGGTATCACAGAAGAAAAGCAGTTCCTGGTGGCGGAAGACAGCAAAAGCAAGCAAGAGAAAGGGGAACAAGCCTCTTTCAGTCCCTTATATTGTACCCAGTCTACCAGGATTAGGGCGGTGCCAATCCAGTCAGTGGACGGATCCAGCAATCACCCACCCTTAATCCCAGCATTGCACAGTGGATCAGCACACATTCTAGATTCAACAACCTCTGAAAAAATCCTATGACAGCATGAGGCTTTATGGGGACACCTAGACACAAACCATAACAGGTGGCTTTCTTTTTTTTGAGTCAGGATCTCACTGCAGTATGTTGTTCAGGCTGCCATTGAACTCCTGGGCTCAGGTGATCCTCCTGCTTCAGCCTGTCAACTAGCAAGGACTGTAGGTGCACTGCCACTATCCCCAGATCAAGGATGAATTTCTATTAGGAGTGTCTTTTCTTGGCTTCCTTTCTCCTTTCAGGTTGGAATCCCCCACAAGGAGCCTCAGCATGGACGCGCCGAGGGGCATTCATATCAATGCACGTGCTGGTCAGATCGAGGCCCTTTCTCAAATGGACATCATTTTTCAGAGCAGTGACGGGATGGTGAGTGTAACAGAGCGGTCCTGTTGTCTGTCCTGAGGTCCCTGCTGAGGACCCCACACAGGAAGGCATCCGCATGTGAAGTTCTGGTGGTTTGTGGGAGGCACTGTCCAAGGTATAGAACAGAAAACATCAAAAGGACAGCAAAAGTCTCTGTAGCCTCAAAAGAAGGGCCAAGAATTATTAGTTATTCTATATGAGATCTGCACAGCTTTCTTCAGTATTTGAGCTATCAAGGCACTGTTACTTTCAATAGTGAAAAATGCTAGGCTTTCAGATCTTACTGGGAACATCAGTTTTGCCATTTCCCCTGATCCCAGCTGTCTGGATGGCTGTTCATAGGAGTTATCTGAAAATAACACCCATCCTGTCATTGCCCAGAGTGCTGTGAAAACTGCCACAAAGCTACTTGTAAATAAAAGTGAGGAAGCCCAGGTTCTATTGCTAAATACCTATTTGCATTCTGGACTGCAGTCTGTCTCTTCATTTATCAATCAAGGAAGATACATGCTTAACTAGGTCACAGGGTCCTGGGACACTAATGTGACATTGGGAACGGTGCAGCTGAGATGCATGTAGATGTAGTATCCTCAAGCTGACCAACAGCGGCCACCCCAGGTATGTGGGTGGGACCTGCCAACAGCAGCCTGCAGGAGGGATGCGACAGGCACCTGGAGAAGCCAGTGCAGGATGTAACGTATGAGGCAATGATACAGTAGAAGGAGCGGAAAAGGCAGAAACAGGAATCGGCAATTTAGGAATCTCACTAGACTAATAAGTCATGTCACCACATGCTTAAAATGTATTACCTTCAAAAAACTTAAACAGATCTTAATTTTGAAAAGATGCTATCAACTTCAGTGAGTTAGACATCACTTTTATAAGTAGCACACAGCCAGTTCCGTGCATATAGCCAGTGTTACTTACTACTGGGAACTAATTCAAAGAGGCAGATGTCCAGCCTCTCACCAAATACTGTCCCACTGTTATACTTGTGTCCAGCTGTACCCCCCAAGCCTCATGCAGCCATAAGTGGGGCTTTTCAGAGACAGCTGCAGAAAACTTCCCATACGCACAATATACCTTCATTAGGATGTGTGACAGTATTTATTTCCTTTCAAAAAAAGGTTCCCCAGCCTGCATTTCAGTACAGCTAAGTAATATGACTAGAAAACCTAATCACTTTCCTTGTTCAGTACTTGAACTGGGTTTCGTCTGTCTATTCCTTCTAAGAGAAGGTGGCAAATACCTGAGCAACATTTAAAATCTAAGGACACAGGAGACGGCTGCTAAGGTGCATTTAATTGCCTCTCACAGGAAAATAAAACCACAAATAAAGCTGGGATACACTCTGATATCCACAGGGATGAATTTCTATTAAGATGAATTTATTGTTGTGGACTGTATGTTATCCTACTGGGAAGAGGATTTAGTAGGACGTCAGAATTTATCACAAGATAAATGTGTATCAGCGAAATTATTCTTTTTTAAATAACTCCAAGAAGCGCTTCAAAAGCATAGCATCATAAAACTGAGAAGCAATCCAGTTTATTGAACGCAATTGGCCAATTTTCCCAGCTGGACTAGCTCAGTGGGGAGATGAAAAAACTGGCTTCCCTGCAGTTTGCAGGAGGACTTGCCAAGCCTCTGTCTGTATGCAAAATAGGACTTGACTTTCAAAGAGTCAAGCAATTTAGACATGACTTAGGTCAGGTGCTTATGTCACTAGCTGTGGCAAGACACAAATTTTCAAGGAACACCTGAAGGGCACAATTTCCTGTTGATTTACTTCATACCTGCTTTACGTCTCATCTCTCACTTTCTCTCCAACAGCTCACACTGGATGCTGAGACCATACGTTTACCCAAGGTGGTGGAGGGGACTCAAGGTCGCTCCCGTAGCCCACAGGGACTCTATGAAATCTGCGTGTGTGCAGATGGGAAGCTGTACCTGTCTGCGGCCGGCGAGGGCACCACATGCCAGGAGCATAGTGAGGTCTGTCTCTGAACTGCTGCCCCTTCCGAGACCACCTGCTTCCTTCCTTCCAGGAGCCAGGACTGTGGTCTGGGGCCGTCATACCTGGGAGTCGCAGCCCCACCAAGACTGCGACTGGAGATGCAGGAGGACTCATTAGCCAGAGGAATCCCTGCAGAAAGTGTGCCTGGCAGAGTGCTCACACAGAACGTGTTACGTGGATATCAGGCACAGGACCTGAAGGAATGTCAGAAGGACATGCTGGTTTCAATGGATTCTGGTGACTTTTCCTATGCCCCCTCCCCATCCCACATGTCAACTGTCATGGAATGCCGAGTTGCACACGGATTGATTTAGGACAGTCATCCGTGGCTCCAACTCCATGCCAAGTGGGGCCAGTCAGTGCCACCACACCTCAACATCCAGGGTTTCGTGAGGCACAGTCACGTTTCACAAGAAAATGTTCAGATTTTTAAGAGAATTTAAGGTTCTGATTTTTAATATGTGTGTCAAGGAAATAAATTACACGAAATCAGCCATATGCAATAAAAAACAACCTACATTTTTCACAGAATTCAGTTTGAGTCTTACTTTCTTTAATCTTCACAACTCATGTAGTGTTTGCTCCTAATTTACTGGTGATAGACTCAGGCCAAGTCTCAAGGTCACCAGTAACTACTGATGCTTACCAAAAATATGATCTTAAATTTGCATAGCTTTCACTTGGAAAAACTTTGATACTGTGTCTCCTTCACCTCAAACACTAAAATATAAGAACTGCATAGCTGGGCTACAGTTAAGCTGACAGATGAAGACCCTGAAACCCAAAGGGCGTTTTACCTAGATCAGACAGCGCGGAAGTGGAGGGGTTTCCGCCAGGCTGAATGCAGCTACTCAGGAGATGCTCGCTGTTGATGCAAACAGGCTCCTTTCCTGTGGGCCACTCACTCCCTCACTCTGGAAAACGCAGCCACCCCGGAAGCGGTGCGTTTGCTTGTTTTATTATAACCAGTTCTTACAGTTCCCAAAACGCTAAAGACATAGTAAGACCAAGAGCACTGCAACTCTCTAATTGTAGGCTTTGTATCACAAGTTCAAGTTTACTTTCTAGTCTCAGAATTGAGAAGTTAGAAAAGTAAACTTTAGTTCTAGTGCTGCTTTTATAAGGTGCTCTCTTAACACCCTAACTCCCTGAGTTTTAAATTGCTATTATACAACATAGGAAACCAGAAAGTAAAAACAGCGCTTCCTGAGCACTCACCGCTAACTGGAACGCGCCTAAGTTTCACGGGGGCTGGGTACTTTTAATTATAAATTGACATCCACTTTTTCCATTTAGCGAAGTGCTGAATTTTAAAATTAATGACTGACTTTCCCACTGCAACATGCCTGCCACACGACTGTTATCTTCTTACTTCCGTTTGTGTAAAACAAACATCTCCAAGCCTGACTTAGCTAACACAGCATCACTGAACATTTATAAATTCGCTTGGCTTTCCAAAAAAGGTTTAGATGATGATGAGGTCGAGAAAATGATCAAGAAGGAAGTATGATGAATGCAGAGGCTGGAACATTTTGAATAAAATTACAAATCTGATGCACTGTGAAAGTTGTAGATCGCTGCATTCTCTAAAGTAATAAGAACTTTATCCTTCATTAGGAAGGATGAAAAAATTAGACACACTGTGCAGTGTAAATTTTGAGGGAAGTTCCAAGGTCATGATGATGAACTTCATCTAATGAGACACACAGACCGCTACTCTTAAAGGGTCACACACTGAGGAATGCTGGTATTTTAAGCATTCAAAAACAAGCACTTATTTCCTTTCAAATTTATGAACCCACTGGGAAGATACGAGTCAAAAAGATGAAGATGTGGGAATTTACTAGTAAACAGTTGAGTCTGCAGCAAGCTAGTTGAGTGCTTCACAGTGGGACACAGCACGGCTTCTGGGCTAGGAAGGAACTGCGGCTTCCACGGCTTCCTCCTCAGAGCAGGACGGACAGACACCGGCTTCTGCAGGCCACCAACTTTTCTTTATTAAAAGGGTGGCGTCCCATTTGTGGAGGCCTTCTCTGAGGAAGAGTAAGTGAGGTGGCAGACTTCTGAGAGGGCTGCACTCCGACACTGAGGGTTTATGTGGCGTCACTTTTTTGTCCACTGAGCACTTCTTACACAGCTTTGGCAGCCTGCTGCATGCTTAAAATTCCCCCTCAACACCGCTGCAGCAGAGAAGTCAGACACTGCCTTCTTTCTGCCAACCACAAGTGAGCCTGCCGGGCCCTGCTCACCCAAAGCGCCCTGGAACTGAGGGACGTGCTGCCAGAGCGCCTTCTTAGTGGCAGGGCTCTGTCCTCAGCGCACAGAGGGTCTCTTTAATAGAAGCCAACAGACAACTATTTCTACACATTATGACTACAGATGTCACTACAGGAAGAAGCAGAGTCCACCCACCCCAAGTGGGACCTGTGAAAAACTGCTCGTTATTTTGTTGAACATTAACACAACACTTTGCCCCAATCACTCTGGGCTCCTCCGCACTCCTTTTTGCCCCCACCCCTGCTGGGTCAACTAAGAGCAGTGTGTAGGGCTTTCACCCATCCTGGACCCCCAGGGGAGGACACGGCCCCTGCCCTTCTCACCTCAGTGTGACTCTGGAGCACCTATTTCAGGCACCCAGTGTCCGCCGTCTTTAAACATTGAACGAAAAATATGAAGAAAATGTAGAAAATCATAGAACATATATATTAGTTCCCGGCAAAAATTCCTTACTCTCTTTTTCAAAGTCTACAAACATATGAAAAATTAAAATTTCAAATATATCTGCTGTAAATCAATGGTGACAGAGGCTGGCCTGAATTTGCATCAGGAGTGTGGACGTTCAAAGACTTTTACTGTAGACCTGTGTTTGCTGAGTGCAGCTTAACCCCTGTAACCGTGTTTCATTAGGAATGTATACACCTCCATGTTAATGCTGTAAAATCAAACTCACAAAAACATTGAACCCAAGCGTTTCACAGAAGGGAGTGTGAACCTGAGTTTTTAAAGAATCTAGAAAAATAAATTCAATTAGATCAACTGTCATCAAGACCAGGCAAGGCTTTCTCCATAAATTTAAATAATGAAAAGCAAACACACGTTAAATGCTGAATATGAGATCCAAAGTAGCAAGCTCTTTTATTTATTTTTCTTTATTTGGTGTTTTGAAAGAATCTCACTACATAATTCAGGCTGGTCTTGAATTCATGGCAATCCTCCTGCCTCAGCCTCCCATGTGCTACCACTCCTGGCTGCACTTTTTAAATAAAGCTAAAATCCTAGCATTTGGGTAGCCCTAGAACAAAGAACTTGTAGACCTGGTCTGCTTAACATTGAAGATTTGTATCATAGGTATAAAAATGACTTTTGTATCAGTTGAGGCTCAAGTGTGAATAAGCCTCAAATATTCAAGCTATCCCTTGAGGCAAAGAAATGCAATTCCTGATATTTCCAATACACACACACACACACACACACACACACACCAATACATGCACATGAAAAATAAACACAATAAAAAGTTTGATTTCCAATGAATTATCACAGGAAATTCCAGTTATAACCAATTCATATGTACATTTTGCTTTATTAAAATTATGGCACTTAATATAACAGCAGAAATAATTACATGATTTCACATCCAAAAGCAAAACAAGTCTGAAGCCACATTCCTTATTACCATTAGAAGTAAAAAAGTTTAACATGGTCTGTAAGCCCTTAATTGCATAAAATATTATATTTAGCATCATTTACAGCCACTTATATAAACTAATTATTACTCCTTTATTTTGACATTCTGCAAAGGAAACTAAGTAAGTATGGCAGGACATTTGAATATGATGAAAATTAAATGTGACTTCTGAATCTTTCATGAGGAAAACACAAGCTAATAGTCCCATTTTCATAAACTATTGGAAATTACCCTGATAACTTGATTAACAAGTTTTAATGTTTTTAAAGTAAAGTCCCAAAAGCTCCACTAAGTGCCATTATTGAAGTTTTTTTTTAACTACAGCACCTTTAGACACAAAAGATTGTATCCTGTTCAACCATACTATATAAATTAGGACAACTGTGGAAAACACGTACACGCAAACATAAAGCAAATGACCTAACTGTTGATAAATGTCTTTTGGAAAGCAGATTTTTAGAAACAATATTAACGTCTGGTAATGAGATCTGCCATTATGCTGCCTTCCACATGTTATCTTATGACACAGAAAGCTTGTAAACATAAGAGATAAAACACTGAAGATGTGCTGCACACTCAGTGCACTCCAAGTGCTACCTTTAGACTCCTCATCAAGTAACAGGATTAAAATTCTGTACCATTCTTAATGTACCAAGTAAGATGCAAAACTGCAGCAAATTCATGATCAGACCCAGCTGATAAGACAATGCATCCAAGAGGATTTGCTTTAAACAAATAATAGAATCCCAATGACTGAATTCCCCTTACAGTTCAAACCAATGATATGTCCAGTGTTTCATTAACTCCTTCAAAAATACCTTTAAACATAAAATTAATTTCATTCTACCTAGAGACATGTTTTGATGCTCACCTAACAAACTGCTAAGCTTTGGTATGTAAAGTGCAGTTCAGTAATGTGCCATCACATCCTTCCATTACACCTACCACTTCTGCTCATCACGACCAGCTTTAAGGTGATTCTCCTTCGGCTTCAGTTAAGGTTTTCTGTTGGTATTCACATTGGTAACAACTCCAGAAGGCGTTCAGAAAAACTGACAGTGTGCTTCACAACTCCTAGGTAGCTGGCGATGAAGCCTAATGAAGTACAACAGTTCACATTTGTGCTACAACACCTCCGAGACCCGGCTCCGTCTCGGCCTTTGCTTTCACACCTTTTGTTGTATGAAATTTTCAAGCTTTATTATGATGCAGGCCGTACACTCCATCACTCTCATCGCAACCTCCGAGGTGAACCTGTCATTGGGGATCTGCGGAAAAGGAAGCAGGTCGGGGTATCTGGTTTTCAAGCTGTCCACGCCGTAGGCTTCCAGCGTGTGGACGTCATTCGTCAGCCCTTCGAGCTGCTGGCTGTACTCCTCTATCTTCTGTGCCAGTGCAGCCGGTTTTACGTCCTTGTCAGACTTCCCCCTCACGGCGTAGTCAGCTGCGATCAAGGCTAGTTTGGTGGAGAGGTAACACTTAAAGCACACCCACTCGTTGGCGTTTTTATGGAGGTCATTCCTGGCCGCTGAGAAGTTTGCTCTGGCCTGTCTTAACCACCTCCGTGCTTCGACTGGATTCCCAACTGACTTGAACGTGGGAGGCACAAAGAACCTCTGTGAGTACGTCTGTCCGGCTGAAGGAGGGCATTTTTCTTTATTCTGCTGTTGCCTTTCAGATTTGTGGCTCGTTGCTTCTTGGTTCCAGGAAGTATAAAACCTTTGGAAAGAATACTTGTCTGACTGAAATCGAGATGCTGAGGTTGAAAATGGTCGTCTGGAGGCTCTGTCTGCATTTTGATCTAGAAAAGCCTGTTTTTCTAATCTGCTGATTTCATTCTGCAAATGTTTAAACACTTCATTAGCAATGTCATGGTTCTCTGGGTTCTTGTCAGGGTGCCACTTCAAATATAACCGTCTGATAATCTTTTTTCGTTCTGATTCTGGAAGCTTCCAAGCTTGCTCCACCACTGAAGTCACTTCTTTTAAGATTTCTGGTAAAGAGTTAACTTTCAGCTTTTTGGGGGAGTGATGCTTTGAGGAGGAGGTCTTGTGGCCCTCTCTACCTGAGAAAAGGGGAGGAATGCTTCTCAGACCAGGGGCGAGGAACTCTGTGGGGCTGGTAGGTGTGGAAGGTGCACTGTCTCTGCTTTGTGAGCTCTCATCGGGCCTTGAAAACTTATACAGGTCAAGAGAGCTGACTATTTTATACTCACTGTAGCCAATATCGATCTGATATATCTTTCCAAGAAAACTAGAATTGTCAGCGTCTTCCCTCTCGACCTCCTGTACAATGATTGCATATGTGTACGTTGGCTGATATGATCCATAGATGTCACCACCTTCGGCATCCACGAGGTACCCCACGTACTCTCCCGGATAGAAGACATTCATGGGGTCCATCAGCAGAGTGTAGTGAATCTCTGCAGGTATCGGTGTGCCCGGCATTGGGAGCTCCAGCTTTGATGGCTCTGAAGAGTCGTACTTCACTCCTAAGCTGTCAAGCTTCTCACTGATCCTGTAAATATCATTGCACCCCAGCATGGCAATTAAATAGGAAGTGTCTGATATCAAATTGTCAGTTGCCGATTTAAGCGTCATTGCTAATGCTAAAAGGAAATTAATGTCTTTACTGTCTGAATGTTGAATGTACAGCAAGATGACTGCATTACCGAATCTCTTCAGAAAAGCAAAAGTTTCACTTCTGCTGTGGGGAATGGGATTAAAACCTTTAACTCTTAATGTCGTTTGAAGCTTTTCAAAACAGGACACTTTTAATCCCTCTCTTAGAGCCTTACAAAGTCTTATGGCTTTCTCTTCATTGGCTAGGAAAGCATTATCATTTTCATGTTTCATAATCCTAATCAGCCCAGTGATGAACTGTTCAGAAGATAAGAGTAACTGTAATCTCCCCTGAAGAGAACACAATGCCCCGAACTGGCAAACTTTGGGCGTTTCTTCATCTAACTGTTCTTCAAGTATACTGCTCAGGAGACGAGGTCTCAGCTTTTGAGGAAAGAGCATTATCAATTTAGTATGAAATCCGTGGTCCTTCCCCAAGTAGCACTGGCTAAGATCAACTAACATCTGCACCCCAATATTTCCTTGAATCCTGCTTTTATAATGGGGCGCATCATCAAAGACCAAGATACTCGACTTCACCAACCTGCCATCCTGGCTAGGAAGGTACAGGGCAAGGTCTCGAACATTCTCAAGATCACTCCTTACCTTGACAGAGTCATTCTGCAGACTCCTGAACAGACCAGAAACTACTCTCTTCACTGTCCGCATTTCATTAGGATCTAATTGTTTTCCTTCAGAGTTTTTGAATATGCGGCTCAACACTTCAACATACTGCTTTGTTGAAATAACATCCTCAGTACCTAAGTGTTTGAACAACTGGTGAAATGTGCCAAGCTCTAAAGGCAGCTTGTACAAATAAGGTTTAAAATCAGATTCATTTTCCAGGTTTATCACTACCTCCTCAGGTTTCAGAAGTTTCCAGCCATCTTCTACCATCACGAAAGCAATCCCCCGTAGCTGAAAACGAAACTCTCTTTTGTCTGCGCTGAGAAACTCATATATGCTTCGTAAGACCTTTGCTCTAGTTTTCACCATTTCTTCATCCAATGTTGTGATGTTGCATACATTTCTGCAGTTATTGATGACTTTATCGAGAGGGGGATCGAGGTTAACATTAAGCATATTTAAAACTTGCTCGAGCTGTTCTTGTGGGCCAAGCTCACTACCTTCCTGCTCTTTGATACTCAGAGGTGTGGCTTTCTCTGGAAGAATAGGGCAAGATGTCCATAGTAGCTGGAGAACATCACACTGCTTGAATTTTGGGTTTACTTGTGCTCCGTTGAACTTTATAAGAGGAAGTGTTCCATTTACTTCTTGATATTGAGGATGAAATCGAATGTATTCGGCAGGGGCCCTCTCAGGACACAAGAATGGTATTAAAGACAGTTCTTTCAGAAAATTTCCAGATAATAAGTCTGTTCGTTCTTGGAATATATGCTGGAGAAGGATGTCGACGGTATTTTGTAATGTTTCTTTAGACCAGTTTTCTGTATTAGCTCTCATACTGATTTCCTTAGCAAACTGTAACAACTGCTGCTGAGAAAGTATGTATTTTAGTCCAATGTTTCTTAAGAATTCCACCCAGGATGTCATAAATGCAGCCTGGTTTTTAGGTTTTATTAGCTGTTCCAATTTTTTAAAGAAGTCCTTAGGAATGAACAATTTTTCAGGGAGCATGACTTCAAAGACTCGCACAGTTCTGTCATAGAAATGTTTTGCCTGCTTTAGTCGGCCGTTGGCATCATGGATAATCAATAAACTTTCTAGTTTTTCAAAAAGTTGCTCCTTAATCTCTGATACTTCCTCAATACTTGATAATCTATTCTTAAGATAGATCAAGTGCTCTAATTTTGCATCGTAAGAGAGATTTTCAATTTTCGGTAAGAGGTGTTTCAAATACACCTCCAGGTCATCCACAGGTACACAACCGAGCACCTCATACAATTCTTTCAAATGTATTTTTTCTCCAAGAAATGCAGCAGATGACGACTGAGTCCATTTTTCGACGTCAGCTGAGGGTATACTTTTTGTTAGCACATAGCAGGTTCCAAATTTGGCAATGCTCATGTAGCGGCCACTGATGGATTTGTAGCATGGAAGCGACTTCAAAATTTTTATGTCATCTTGAGACATCAAGTGATCCAAATTGCAGTTGAAATACATCAAAAGTGCTTCAAAGTCACTCTCTACCAGTTTTTCAGTCCTAAACATTGAAGTCTGGACCATGTAATGCACAGCCTTTAAAATGCTTGTGGGGCTCTCTATGTTGGCTGTGTGACATGACAACAGGGGAACAAATGTGCTGTCTTTGGAGCAGATTTTGTTCAAAGCAAGCTGAATACAGCCAGCTTTCATCAGAGCGTGAAAAACTTTATCACTCTGGGCATTTGGAAAAACTGCAATGTGCATAAGACTTAGAGGAAGCAAGACGTCGCCTTCAGGAACCACAAGCTGATTGGCTGACACAGTAAACTTTGTTCCTGGAAGCAAGGCCCAGTCTTTTAGAGTCTCAACTACCACCTCAAACATGGGTTTTGTTTCCTCCTGATCTTCTTTCACACCTACAGATTCACTGATAAAATGCCACGCATTCTTAAGCCAAGATTCACTTGCAAAATTATCCTTCCACTTGGTACAATTTTTGGTCTTATATTCACGAGGCAACACAGAGGCTAACAAGTCAGCAAAGCTGGAAATGTCAAACACTTTGGCAACTTTACAGTTCAACAAAATGTTACTGTATTTCAAATATAATGTATTCATAAACAAGTCTTTGCGAGATGGAATCAATTCATGGTATGTTGTCAGAAATTTAGACCGTTTGGCATCAAAAGTTTGCAAAACACTATCCAATGTAATGAGAAGGGGTAGCCCCTCAACTTCAATCTCATTTTCTTCTGCATCTTTAAAGCAGTAATCAACTAGCAGTTTTAAACTATGAAAAAGCTTTAGGTTAGTCTGCTGAAGGCGACACGGCAGCTTCCCAATGATGCAGCTAGTGTCAGGAGACGAGAATGTCATCAGAAAGGCCCTGACGTCCGCAGGCGTCACGTAGCTAACAGGGATGTCTGCGTCTATGAGGCAGTGGTACAGATTGGCAGTCTCATCACAGTTATAGACCAAGTTAAAGCCAATCTCTAGAAGGAGGTGCTTCAGCCGATACACGTTCTCTGCTACTGTTTTACGGGTTGTGATATTATAATCTGCGTTTTTAAGATGCTGTAATTCATCCTGTAGTAAATTGTCAAAAAAAGGCCTAGTTTTACTTGAAGTAGACATATTGATCCAAGTTATTATGACCGCAGAGTGCAAGTCAGAGCCATCAATATTTGGAGCCCGAACAACAGGTAAAAGACGTTTCATTTCCTCATGAATACAACTGTAAAGTGCTTTCACTAAGCAATATAAATCTGGCTGTAAATCAAGTCTGTTAACTGGGAAAAAAGACAAAAACTTCTTTAAGGTGTCCTTTACTACATGAATAGGCGTGTTCTGTAAAACTGATAATGTTGGGTCAGAACCAGGGAAATACCGTTTTTTTAACTGGACCAGTAGTTCGACATAGGCAGGAGCTATCAGTGCTGTCATTAAACTGTTATTCCAGTCACTTCGCACGCCAACCCCGTTGTCATCACGCCATAGGTTTCTTCGGGCGGAATCGAGCGCGAAGTGGCCGTTCACGTGGAATGGCAGCCCCGTCTCCAGGGACAGGGGCAGAAAGCAGAAGGCTCTGTGGGGCTTTTTATAATTGTGGGTGATGCAGGCAGCTACTCCTCCACGGGGGAAGAGAGTAATGTCTTGGTTCTTGTGCGCTGAAATCACACTCTTAGACACTTTGTCCATACTTGAAAAGCCTGACCTATTACAAATCAGCCAGGTGGTGAGGTTTCCCTCCGAGTCCTCGGTGTCCATGGTGTAGGTTACCTGCTGAACAGGTATGTCTTTGAGCTGCCTCTTCTTAGTAACACTGTCAATTACAGATGCATGGAACTGTTTCCTCTTCAACCTGTCTCCATCAGTGATTTTGCCCTTCACGGAGTACAATACATTCAGGGCTCCTGTGCCTTTATCGATTTCACAAATAGAAATTTTTTCCATGTGATTAAGAAACATTAGAAGTTCTGCCCCATCTGAGTGCAGTTTGTCTAAAAGATTCTGGACCATTCTGTCTGATGATGGAACTGAAGAAATTTCTGAAACTTTTGCCATTTCTGCATTACGAAGAGGAAACCTAAACATTGTGCAATTATCCAGCTTAAAGTGGGTTCCCAGGTAAAGATCAAGAACGTCTGAGAACTGTGTTCTGAAGTCTGCATCCAAATCGCGAAACATGCGCCCAGGGCTGACGGACGTGGCTCCCGGTGCATACCTGGCGTGAGGGTCAAAGATGCACAGGATGTCATTGCCAGAAATGAAAGAGGGGCAGTCTGTGATGTGGTACACCGAGTTGAATCCTATTCCATACTGCCCCGTTTTACAAGGATTGCCTTCTTTGGTACCTTTGCCAAGATTCTGAATCCCCCTGACATCATCCTCGGTGAAAGGCTGGTTGTTATACACACAGAGTGCTGGCCCTTGCAAAGGGGCCCACTTGTCATCAAATATTCTGTCAACAGGATGCTGTCTAGGGTCAAACACAAAGCAGATTTCCGTGGCCTTCGCATCATCAGCGTTTTGAAGAAGTTCTTTCAACATCTCCTTTTCTGAAGGATAGGCATTCAGGATGCTCTTAATTCTGCTAGTCAGTTTTTCCTTCTGCCCAAATTCTGTGCCAAGTGTCGTAAAGCAGATGTTGGACGCATATCTTTCCAAGGCTTTATGTCGCTTGGGGATTGCTCCCAACTTCACAGCTACTTCCCTGGGTATGTCAGCATGACAGTATTTCACAGCGGTATCCTTCACTTTTATCCAGGGACAATCATTGTAGCACAAAGATTTAGCAGGGAGAAGCATAAGATTAGTATCTGGCAATAATATTTTGCCATAATTTTTCTCACAAAATTCTTGTTTCTTTTCTCTAATGAGATTCCATATCCCTTCACTGATTATTCGTCGGCAAAGCTGGAAATTCTCTTCTGTTATTTGTTTCATTCCTCTTTCTTGATTAATAGATTCCAAAACTAGGGCAAAATCTTCAACTGTAAATGACTGCCTCACACCCACACTTTCAAAGAGTTCACGGAAATTATTTTTATATTTATTAGGTAACTGATAAAGGTATGGGGCTGCTTCAAAATTCAAATGAAAAGAAACTTTTTCTGAGTCAACATACGTATTTTCAACTAGAATGAAGCTAAAAGGTTTCAACTTTTCTGTAATTGATATCTTAGCTGGTTCATTTTGCATCATTGCTTCATGAAGGTATTTGTAGCAAGCATTGGTGATGTTTTCCTGGTACAGTGTAATTCCATCTTCAACTGATTTTGCAACTTCTTTCAACTGGCTTACAACCAGATCAAGTGTTGGCTTCTTCAGTAATCCCAAAAACTCTTTAACAGCTAGTGAAACTGAACCACAACCTCGGAAGGAATGGGAATTTTCATTCAGAATTGGGTGCAACAGACACACTATGTCCTGATGTTCAGCTGTATACAGATCCGCTGCTGCAAACATGGTTTCAGGCTTAAAGCTGTTACCTTTCCACTCTAAAGAAAAGCCAGCTGGCTTTGTTAAAAATGGAAGGAAGGGGATTGTTTGATATTTTGCAGCAAAGTCCTTTGCTCTAGGATCCCTTATTTTTAGTTTCTCATCAATAAGACTTAATAGGATACTACTTCTTAGACAAGCAGCAAGATGATCACTTTTGTTAATTTCAGCTACTGACTCTGCACGTTCCAGCATGTCATCCCATAAAATATCATCTTTTGCCATACCTAACTGAACTAGTTTAATCAAAATAATGGGATTGAGGTAATCCTGAGTAGAGCCATAAGGGAACCGTCCATCTTTAGTATCAAATAACTTCGCAACTCGTCCTTCAGGGTGGATCAATCTTGATGGTAAAACCAAAGGATGCTGCTCCAAAGAGCAAGGAATACATGGAGTAACCCGAAGGATTCCTGAGAATTCATCTATTTTCTCATTTAGCACAAAATTCATTAAAGGGTCTCTAAGACTTGCTTCAATTTCTTGTATATTCGGAAAAAACACTTCTGAAAAAAACTGTTTCTCTGAAAATGTATTTTCAAGCAGTATCTGTTTGCAGCCAGCTTCTTCAAACCCTAATTTTACTGAAGAAGGAAGTTCTACAGCACATAAGTTTTTGGACCCAGTCTTTTTGAGGTATTTCAGAAATATCTTGAAAGCTGCTGGACCCACATCTTTTCTCTTAAGTATTGAGTCATCTAGAAACCTTACATTCTTCATGGAAACCCAAGTGGATCCATCAGAGAAGACTCTAGTCAAGTCTTTACCTTTTCCGTGAGCTATATCTTCATAAAATCCCTGACAAATCACAGAAAAGTCATCGTGAACTACGTCAGGATCGGGCCATGCTGCATAGTAAGTATAACCAGTCAGCTCCCCGCTGGAGGCCAGGTCACGTAAGACACTGAGGGCCTGCAAGTAGGCCTTCACAATCACATGTCTCATAAACGTGGTATTCCAGCGCCCTTTCGTGTCTGTCTTCCAGATTTCCTTCCTGTTTGAGGTAACGGCAAAACACCCATTGATGTGAACAGGCAAGCCTGTTTTTATTCGTAGAGGTAAGTAGCAAAATACTTCTCCAATGTGTGGTTTCACTGTCCACTTCTGGTCCTGGGTTTCAGATAGCAGAACTCCCACGGCTCCACAAGGAACCAGCCCCAGTCTTCGTCCACTCTCGCTCAGGGAAAACTTGAGAGCTTCTCCTATATCCATGCAGGAGCATATAAGCCACGTGGTAGAATCCAGCGTTTTCTGTGGCAACTCATCTGATGGCTTTTTTAATTGGCCAGACTTAGCCATTTCAAAGAGAGTAGCGGGGTCATCATCTGGACCTCTGAACAGGGGTGACTGTAAGTCAGCAATCCTTCTGAACACATGGTGAAACTCTTCGACCGTGATCTGAAGAATGCAAGATGCCCTTGGTGCATCTGTGGGAAGCTTTTTGTTGCTGCCACTGCAAGCCTTCATGAACTTAGCGGCTTCTTTTAATACACTCAGGACAGGTGCGTTCAGTGCTTTGGAAGAACAGGATTTTTTTTTAATTATGATTGTATCTTGTGCTAAGCTAGGATCAGTTTCCTCAATCTTTAAGTACTTCAAATACATTGAATTCACACTCTGAGTGAAAAGGATAAGTCTGTGTCCACAGAGACTGAATTCATCCACAAGGGAGTAAATATCTGCTGTATTATAGCAGGTGCTGCTAACTTCGCTGACCTTCGCTTCCTGCTGAGTCCTAAAGGACAGTCGGAAAAGAGTTCCATTATAGCTGTAAGGAGCTTCTACAGTCAAAGGCAACTGACAGCCAAACACATTTATAAATGGTTTGAACTGATTAGGGAATTTCCTCAGTCTTTTCTGTTGTTTACTCCAATTGATTTTGATCCCAGGATTAGATTTGTCTTTAATATGTTTGCTGATATGGTTTATGTTTGGATCAAACATTATCATGAATTCTCGGCTCATAATGATGGGAATATCAGTGATATGGTACACAGAATTAAACCCAAGACCAAATTTTCCAACTTTGTCAACTTCTGCCCTTTTTAAAGACTCTCCTAACCTAGTTATGTTGACAAAATCTGAATCTGAGAATTCCGAATTATTGAAGGACCACAAAGCAGGTCCGTGGCACGCTGCCATCCCTGGGTCTAGGAGATTCTCTCTTATGTCCATATTTCTTCTCATATCGATCATGAAACTGCACTCCGTTGCATCTGCATCATCGGCGTTCTGAAGCAGTTCTTTAAAAATATCGGACACTGAGGGGTATTCCTCCAGAATATTTTTAATTCTTACAGTAAGTGGCTCTCTTTGCCCTGACTGCTCAAACCCCATGTTTTCAGGATTAATCAGTCTGGTACTAAGGCATGGGACTTTCAGCCATTCTGCAGTTTTCATGGGTATGTCCTCGTGCACCAGAATGATTGGTTCCACAGAGTCTTCAAGTAAGTCGTTGAGGTCATCAACTTTGATATCACAGTAACAGCATTCATGAATCGGTTTCATTATAAGTTTAGAAGGATTTTTGCTGTGATATATAGGAACTGGTGTATTGGGGCTCGCTGGGATTTGATTACTATATAACCACCTGATAATATTCAACATAAGATGCAGATTTTGCTTGCTTTCTTGTTCACTGAGGTCTTCATCACTTTTGAGATATATCTTTTGAATGACCATGGAAATATGATCTGATGTCAACTCCTCTATTGAGCCACAGACTTTAAACAGTTGGTGAAATTTCGCCATGGTTTTAGGCACATTATGCAAATAAGGCTGAAGATCCAGATCATGCATTGGTTTTATCACAGCTTGGGCAAGAGGACAAAACTTTTTGCCAGTCCAAACCCATGGATATTTTAAAGCCCTAAAAGAATCTTTCCCTTCATTCAAATGATCATGCATGAATCCATAAATTTCAAGCAAAATATGTTGAAACTGATAGTAATCTTCATCACTAAATGTTTTTGAAGTATACCAATCAACAACAATTTTAAAGTGTTTTAAAACAGCACTGATGCTAGGTTTTGTGAAAATACCTAACGCTTTTTCCAGGTTTACATGGACAGTTTCAACAAGAGGAAGTGAGGAGCCCACTAGAACCGCATGGACCACATCACACATGTCTGGTGGTGCACAGAGATTACAGAGATCTCCTTTCCAGACCAAAGAACCTGGGTAGTTTGGAGGCCTCTCCTTGCACGCTGGAACCCACTTTATTTTCTTCAGGGTTGTCTTTCCTTCAGAGGATTGCAGGAGTGCATGATTCTTATTTAAAACCAGTAGGAGTGTTTTGGCTTTCTTCAGAACATCTTCATCTGGACCAGAAGTGGCCTGTAAGGTTTCAATTTTTTTTGCCACTTGCACAACGTCTTTCTCTTTAAGACTGGTTTCATTTTTTAAACCAATTTGTCTCAAAGAGTGAAGAATATCTGGTGAGGTAAAAACTGAGGGTGGGAAACAGCTTTCTTCTTCACTATAAAAGAGATCTTTTAGTACTTCTACATCAGGATCAAAGAGTTCACTGGCTGATACTATCCGTTCCTGTGAAATCTGAATGAATTTTAATGGCATTAACCAATCAAGCACACTTGGATTCTCATTTTTAAGAGAGGAAAGATTTTCAAGGATCCATAACATTAGCTGTGTTACCTCATCATGTGAATAAAATGCATTTTCAAGATCTTTTAGAACGAGCTTCAAGCAGTTGGTGGTCTTTAGTTTCTCAATTTTCAACATATTTGCCAAGCGAATTGTAGCTTCATCACTGCTATCTATTACTGAAATAGAAAGTCGCAGATTTGCTGGAAGCTTGGCCGTATGGTGCAAGACCTTACAACCCTTCAATTTTGTGTAAGATGAAACTCCCTGATCAGACGAGTGGTTGATTCGTTTGAATACTGTCAATTCTTGAATTATTCTTTTCTCTTTTTCACTGACATCAGGTAGACTGGCCAAGAATTTCCTCAGAGCATCTTTGTGTGTTGGAAGCAGGGAAGCTATCTGATTACATAATTTCTGCAGCGGTATCTTCTCCATTATCTGCAGGACAGCACTTGGCAATGGTGGATGGATGTATTTCTTAATGAGTGGGTGCTGAATGCAGGCATCTAATTTTTTCAAGACAATCCCTCCAAGTTTTTGCACAATATCTGCTAAAAACTCTGGAAGCTGTGTTTCAGTTTCATCATCTAAAATGACTAATGACGGAATCCTGAGTCTAATGAGTTCCACACACGTCTGACATTCATCCAGTGTAGTTTTAGGGATAAGTGGCATCTCATCAAATAGAGTCAAGTCCTCGGAAAAATGTATGTAGAGGTTTTTCCAAACCATCTTAAGCCATGAAACAGATGGGTAATTTCTGTCTTCACTGAATGGATACCACTGAACAATCAATTCTCTGCCAGGCCAGAATGCATTCAGTACTTCCTTAATAAGACGTGCAAAGCGTTCTGGATTGAGAAGCTGCAGCTGAGTGCACGGTCTTCCTGAAATCACACACAGAAATGTTACACACACATGCAGTTCTATGGTAACAGCCTATTGTCACAGACACCACAGCATCAGAAAGCTGCCTCAGAAGTTTAACATTCATCTCAATTAGACTAAAATGAATTTTAAATAACAATACAGGATTTATACATAAACATAATAAACTATGAGAAAACATTCTCTCTAGAAAGTAATTTTTGAATTAAATATATAAAATATATCAAATGTATTTTAAAAAGTATCCTCTTAATTTCTCCAAATAGAATCAACATGAAAAACATTTTAAGGCTTATGTAGTTCATAAATAAAAGTACCAAAGGAACTGTAGTTAAGTTCACATAAGTACCTTCTCATTTAGAGAAAAATTTGGTAACCCATCCCAATGTGAGTACCCTTTTGTGTCAGCTCATGTTCCCAAGGGCCACCTGGCTGCACGCAGGGATGGGAAGAAGCGTGTGAAGTCGGGCTGGAGCCTGAGCCTCTGTCTTGGTGACTAAAACTTCCTGAGGCAGCAAGGAGCAGCAAGGAGACCCACAGTTTCCTTTCAGCACTAACCCATGAGTGCTTCAGGTGGCATTTAGTCTGTCTAAACTTGAACTCTCAACTGAAAACACAGTGGGGGCAGGGTTCTAACTACAAAGACTGCTGTACAGTCTGGCTAAGTCAGTATGGCTCAGGAGCTTAGCCATAACTCTCCCAGCACCCAGTTACTCACTATTACTTATTAAACTGCTTCTGTAGGTCCTGGGATTCTATAGAAATGCTTCAGGGGTAAACAAAGGGAGCAAGGGGGAAGCTGTTGCAAATGCAGGGCCCACCTCCCACTGGAACAACTCTACAACTCAACCTTTACCAGCTAGAGACAAGGAAGCATTTTGTTCTGTTCTGTTTTGTTTTGTTTGTGGTAGGGTAGGTTGCTGCTTTTAACCACTGGTCTGGAAATTACCATTTTCTAAGTGCATTATGTGCTCCACAGTACTTGTAGTATCAGTAGGAACAAAAGAAGGAAAACAACCCTGCAAACATACAGGTATGTATGTGCTTATACAGGGCATTAGAAAGTTTCCCAGATTCAATTCTGTGGAAACTAACATTCAATATTTGGCCTATGTATGTATGACTTCTAGACCTTAGAAGAACAACTCTGGACAAATTATAAAATGAGGCAATTTAGCCCTTGCACTTTTGTGTAACATTATTTTTTAACCAAGGAAGAATAACTTTATTTCAAACACTTCTCATCAGGAAGATAACTTTACCTTCTACAAAGAAAGTATCTCTCATGTCATGGTAAGACATTTCAAACTACTGCCACAGAGATTTAAGCAAGAGCAGATTTCTGAAATTAGGAAGGTGTTAATAGTACTCAGATTCAAAACATTTTTACTTTCTACACTGTGTGATTTAGGGTAATTCAAGAAGTACTACTTTAAAACCATTATTAGATCATTATCATCAGTGTAGGTTCTTTGGTCTATGTACCACGGTAAAATACAGTTTCACAACAGTAGTCTTTTAAAATGCTTAACTGAATTTAACTATAACAGAATATTCAAACCATAAATAAAGCAAGGATACAATACTAAATATATATAAGAATTAGAAATTAAAATAAAACACTCATAAAAGAAATATGCACCAATTTATGTTCTAACTCAATTGACACACGACATGCATTCTGTAGATAATCCTACCAAACATTCTCTCATGAAATTTAGTAATTTATAAAACATATACCTACCTTCAGGAAAATTGTCTGATATCAATGTGAAAACAAAATGCCACAATACACACACACCACAGATAGCATGCAACTAGCACACCCATCATGCTCAATTGAAGAAAAAAATAGAAAATAAAGGAGAGAGAAAATGTAGTAAGACACAATTCTAGGTACATTAAGTTGGTTCAAGCTGAAGTCTTATATACTTTAGTACTAAGCTGAAAGAAATTTAGTGTTTAACCCTAAAGAATAAATATTAACATGGAAAAAATCTCCATGCCATGAATTAAAAACCCACTGAAGCTCTTTAATACGATCATCAAAATCATTCTTATTAACTTTAATAAATGATTTGTCATGGGTCTTGTGGCCTTAAACATTATCAGCATTGTCAAAAGGAGTTAGAGACAGAAAAGCTTTACCTAAACTATGACCAAGTGTGAGCACTGAGCTTTGAAGGAACTCTTCTACGAGCAGATTTGCTTTACTACAGGTGGTTTACTTCCAGTCTCTTCCATGCTGGAAACAATACTGGCAGCACACTGCATCACTATCTGAAGGCGGCACTACATTTAATGGTTTATATATTTGTATTTCTGTTTAGTGCTAACCTTGAGGACAGGTTCAACATAGAAATAACAGTCTACTTCAAATTTTAGTTAACCAAGAAATCTCAGTCCTGAGTGCTATAGTTAACAGAAAGTTTATCACGTTTGACCAGACAGCTCCAAAGTCACACCCAGTGGGCCGCTCCCCAGCTCCAAGCACAGGTGACTTTTTCTCTTCAGGCTCACAAAGCAGCAGTAGTTACTCTGGGAGATGGTGAGTTCTAACATGTCCCACTGTATGGGGAGATTCCAATCTCCTTATAAATACATACATGATACAGTGAAGACACAGTTAAATAGAGTACTATGAGAAGTTAAATATTCAAAGAACCAAAAGGAAAAGGAACTAGAGAAAAAGAAAAGACCAAACAGAAAAAGGAGAAAAGGATGCAGCCTACCAGCCAAGACGCCAGCTGGCGTGCCACAGACCAAGCAGCGGTGGTGCGGTCAGCAGGGTTTACACATACCCCGCTCTCAGGTGGTGTGGCCAAGGGGGTTTAAAACTAGCCCCCTTACCAAGCTGCTTCCCCAAATCTCAGTACCACCACTCCGCAACTGACTTTCTAGCTTTAGTCTTAAACGGAGAAGCAGTAATAGCTAGAGGATCACTATTGATTTATGTTTCAAAATATAACATATATTCACAATGCTTTAGGAAAAACTTTACAATAGTAGCTGTAAATGACTAAGCACTCAATATAATCTAGAAACCAAACTAACATTTATGTAAACTATAGGGTAACAATGACGCAGTCTGTAAAGAAATTTTAAGTATGTGTGGCCTTCTTTAAGGGATAATATTTCTCATAAAATAGTTTCTATAAAGCAAATGTTGTATCTCTAAATCTCTAAGAAAAGAACTTGGGAAAAATAATACCACAAGTTGAGTCAAAAGTTTCTCATTAAAACATAAGGCAGCAGAAAAATGGCAAGCAGGAATTGTAAGGACAATCCATCAGCTGCAGGCCCCTGATGGGGGCTGAGCAGGCCACTCTGTGTTCCCCAGGCCAGGCTGCAGACAGGCTCCTCGGTGTCACCAGCCTTGGCACGTCCTCATCCCACATCTCAGAATTTACACTCTCCCTCCTTTTAACCTGCATATCCGTATATGTCATATAACAGACGCTCCCCATTCAAGGCCACAGCTGAAGTTAGTATGTCTGCATCTCTCAGTTGAGATTGATAGTCTATAAAGTGGAGGCTTCCAAGCCAGTTAAACATGGTTTAAGTGAAGTGCTTTTACCAGCCAGTGCCCGGATTAGCAGTTTCCTCTCTCCTTTAATGATTATTACCAACAGAAAAGCATTACTGTTATAATTTCTAGCTACACAAATAAATGAAAAACAAAGATTCAACAAACCAAATGAAAAAAATCAGGCTTCAAATGAACACAGCACTCAGCTGCTGTCCTACCTGAATATCCCCAGAGAAGCTGTTGTGCTAGAATATAATTAAATCCGTTCTTAGCTCAGGACTGTTGCAAACTTTACAGGATCACTGCGGACATTATCTCAGGACAAGTTGTCTATAGCATCTTTACGCATCGTTATGTAAATGAAAAGTTGAAAGCAAAACTCCAAACACAGCAGAGTATATATATTTGAATTTTAAGACTTATTTCAATGCAAACTAAATTCCTACTATGTAAGGGGTGGGAATTTTAGTTTGCAAAGAAAGCAAAGGGAAAAAAACCATACTTTACATGCATAAATTATATTTCATCCACATAAGGTCATTTGCTATGCTGCTAGGGCATGGGCAATCATCATATAATATTTGGAGATTTGAAATAAGAATTGAGAAAGAGAAGAAATGCAGTTTTTAAAAAATGTTTAAATATCTATCCAAAGTAAATGCACAATTAATTCTGAATTCCTGATAAAGAAAGGGAGACCCATGGTTTATTACTGGTAACCATCAATCATTACAAAGTTTTAAGCATTGCTCTAAAGACATCTGACTTGGCTCTGCCTAAGTTACATCCTTGGTCAAGCGGATGACTGTAACTCATCATGATGGTTATGTATTCAGGTATATTAGGCCCAACTTGGCAGCTGAAATAGAGACCAGAGGTCTAATCTAAGCAATTTAAGTTGCCAAATTAACATCCTTCTGGGGCACTTAGGAGTAGGCATTTGTCAGCAGCAATACTGACTGCTAGAGATGCACAAATGAACAGCTAGAAGTAGTCCCAGACCTTGTCTGTCTCCAAGATGGAAGCATTAGAACACTGAATGCAGTTGCAGCTGAAGTGCAGCTGCATGAGTGCTGCAGCGAGCCCACTGCAGTGCAAGCACCCACAGGCTGCAGGGAAGAGCACCAGGCAGCGAGGCGAAGGGCATGAAAAGGGAAGAACACGCCACCAACTGTGGGCAGACGACAGCATCGCTTCCAAACATGAGGAAGGTCAGGGAAACAAGGAGGCCCAGCAAGGAGGAGGTGAGCACCGACAAGCATCTAAGTCAGGTTTCTACACACCAGGCACCTGTGTCACCCTGAGAACAAGAACCAGATGGCAAACACAGCACAGGAAATGCGAAGGGCTCTAGCCTTCCTGTAAGGAAAAGGGAGACACCTTGAAAGATTTCCCCAAAAGCATGGAAAACTAGCATTTTAGAAAGATAATCTCCACAGTACACTGCTGCAGGGAGGTGCACAGGCCACCTCTGTGTTGGCAGATGGGAGGCAGAAAGAGCCTCTTTCAAAGACACAGCCCTCTGTCCAGTAGTCAGGGGCAGCAAAGGCCAAAGCATCTTCGCAGTCTAGTGCCAAAATTTTCAGAATAACATCAGCTGTGCACCTGAGGCAGGCACCTAAAAATGCTACATTTTCTGAAGATTTCCACGTAAGTGTATGAGACATCACTACCTCCCCAGTAAAAATAGAAACACACTTCCCCAGCCAGCACAGTGCACCTTGCCCTGGGTGTGCACGAGGGGACCCAAGCCGCTCTCCCAACTCGCCCCCACCAGCCCAGGTCTCACAAAGCCTTGTCACACAGACCAGCTCCGGTTTCTCCAGTGGCCTCACAGTGCTGGGAGCTTGTTCAGCACATCTCTGCATTAATTTTATTTAACAAGATGCCTGCTACATATGCGAAATCAAAGCAAGTATTTATGGTAAACAAACATTTATGAAATGGAACAAAGATATGACCGTATCTAATAAATATATGTGAAATTAAAATACAGAAGTAGGAGCTTTGCACCAGCCTACTAGGCACTGGTCTCGCTTCAGTGCTCTCCATCCTTCCTGCTTGGTTCACCCAAAGCCCCTCTGGCTGCTTTTCTACCCCTCACTCACTAATTTCCGATAGTCACCCATTTACTCATGTAACTTGATAAATAATCTAAACTTGCAAATTAAAAACAAAAGCCAGAACTGTGGTTCCAACTCTGCAGTGCATGCCAGTCATCTAGACCCTTCCACTTCTCTGAATTTCTGTACCACAGATGACACAGCTTCTGTCGCGTCACAGTTGTAGAGAGCAAACACTACCATGGAAGACTCTGACTGGAAAGAGATGCCAGTCACAGGCACAGCGGGGGGACCTGCTTTGCACCTTCACAGCTTTCTTCAAGCCACCTGGCCCGGACAGGATATGAACGTGTGAACGTGCCCCACACACCCATCACCCTGTCACCTGGCCAGACCAGGACACAAAAGTAAAATATTAAACACCTGCCCTTGCTGTCAAGGACTTCAGAGCTCAGCCCGGTAAGCACAGGACTCTAACAAGCAGAGTGGATTAAATGGCTACAGCCTCAGTTCCAAAAACAACAGTGGCATCGACTTCACACTTACGTGACAGTGGTAGAGACAAAGTGCAAGATGCCAAAGAGGGCTTCTTGGAGGTGACTGGGGAGCTGAATATTAAAAGGCTGATCAAAACTAGCTTACTGTTGATGGGAAAACATAGTAAGACAGCAGCTAAGATCCTCTAATAATCACTCCCAACAAAAAACCTACCGAACTGCCATCACAGGACCAAAGGAGCTAGATGGATTTCAGAATAATAATAATGATACATTGAGGAGGAAAGAAGAAAGGAAGGAAGGAGAAATGAGGGGAGGGTGAAATGAGGATGGAGTCGCCCACCTCACCTTTCCTCTGACTGGCAAGCAACAAAGCACTGTGCGCCTCCCACTTAGGGAGGGAGAAATTAAGGCCTGGCACCTGAAACCAATGATCAAGCCTTCCTGATTAGACCTGGTGTGCTCAGGGCCTCAGGACGCTTGCCCCCTACCCAGTACTGCAGTCAAGGCCTATGGAACCACCTACGAGGCGGCCAAGGCAACCTTTTCCAACTCCCAGCCAAAAGACGGAACCAGGACTCCAGCCACCAGACAGCAGGGCAGGAAAGCTACCAAATGGATACACACGACCCAACATATTAACCCAATAAAGGAAAACCGCCATATTGGTTCTCTCAATAGATGCAGAAAAGATAGCATTTGGACAGATCCAACATCCCTTCATAAAAAAAAAACTGTACAAATTAAACACAGAATGAACCTCAACATAATAAAGACCATTTATAATATACTAACAGCTAAAATCAAACTGAGTTTTTTAAAGCTGAAGCTTTTTAAGGTCTGGAACAGGAGAACTTCTGCTGTCAACTGCACTCAATATAGTAATGGAAAGTTTACCCAGACCAATCACACACAAAAAAGCAATAAATATCATTCAAACTACAAAAGACAGTAAAACCATCACCAGGCAAATATCGCATACAAAGAATCCTTAAGACTATTACTATTAATAAACTCAGCAGAATTGCAAAACAAAATATACAAAAATCAGTAGCACTAAAATATGTCAACATGAATTATCTAAAACAAAATTCAGAAAAGCAATTTCATTTACAATAAATATAAAACCTAGGAATAAATTTAAACAAAAATAAATGCCCTTTACAATAAAAACTATAAAACATTGACAAAAAAATTGAAAAAGATACCAAAAAAATAGAATTCATATCCCATGTTCAGGGAAGAATCACTACTACCAAAGAGTCCTTAACACCCAAAGCCATCTACATATTCAATGCAACGACAGTTTTCTGACATAGAAAACAAATCCTAAAATTTATATAAACACACACTAAATTGCCAAAGCCATCATAAGTAAAATGAGAAAAGCTTGAAGTATTACATGACTTGACCTCAAAATACAATACAAAGCTGTGATCCTCAAGACAGCATGGTAATGGAATAAAAAAACAGATGCACAATCAATGCAACAGAATACAAAGCCTAGAAGTAAATCCAGGCATCCACAGCCAACTGATTTTTGAAAAATACCCTAAAAATATACCATGGCAACAGCATAGCCTTTTAAGTTAATGACGCTGAGAAAACTGGATGTCCAAATGAAGAAGACTGAAACTAGACTTCTACCTCTCACCAGTCCTAAAAATCAGTTCAAAACACATTTAAAGACAAATACAAGGCATGATGCTACTTGAATAAAGCACAGGGAGAATGCTTCAGGACATCTGAAGGCAGAGGAGCTTTTAACAAGACCCCGAAGCACAGTAAATAAAAGCAAATGTGGACAAACGGGATTTATTAGGAAGTTTCTGTACACGGACAGAATAAATCGCGTCTGCCTGCGTAATCAGGACAGAGGAGGGACCCCGAGTGAGCAGAGCCGCAAAGCAGCTCTTCACAACCACGAATGTGCACGACTGTGCACACCCACTACCACAGAAGTGCACTGGCATGAACTGCCATCCAGCCCACAGCAGCAAGACCTGACTTCTCCTAACCAGAGCACAGCGGAAACCTGCAGCAGGGGCGACATCGCCAGACACACAGCCAGCACTGAAGGCGCACACAGCCACGGTCCAAGGAGAGCTAATCACAGCTAAAACTCAGCAACGGAAGTAAACACTGAAGAGAAAGCAGCAACTTAGCACTAGGGTCAGACATTTACTGTGAATGTAAGTAAAAGGTAAAATCATCAGACAGTGAGGAAGACTGAGCTGCAGAATTAAGAAACACAGCCCGGTACTAACCCAAAAACAGACACCTAGATCAACAGAATAAAATACTGGACACAGAAACAAACTGACAGAACTACAACCGTCTAATTCTGGACAGAGGAGCCAAAAATGCACATTAGAGAAAAGACAGCCTCTTTAGCAAATGGCACGTGGAAAACTGGGTATCCAAGAGCCTGAGACTATCTCTCACCAGTACAAAAACCAACTCTAAATGAATCAAATGCCTAAGTGTAAAATCTGGAACTCCGACACTGCTAGAAGAGAGGAGGGGTCAGCAGCACAGGAAACAGCAAGCCCTGGTAAATGGGAACACATCGAATTACCAAGCTTCTGTGCAGCAAAAAAACAAGAGAATAAAGAGGGAGTCTGCTGAATAGGAGACAAATTTTGACGACTCTTTCAATACAGAGTCTATAAAAAATGCTACCCAGAGTATTTTATAAAAAGTCAAGAAAATTAATTTTTAATTGTTTGTTGATGCACCTTAGACATAATGATCAGATTCATCACAGGGAACTTGGATCTGTACATGATATACCTTGATTCCTTTATTCCAACTCCCTGCTCTCAATTCAACCCCTCTTCTCCTTATTGACAAAAGCTTTGCTCTCATTTTAACATCCTTTTCTCATTTTCTTCTTCTCCTTGCTTTCCCCTACCACCCTCCCAGTTCACCTTCCCATTTGAGCAATTTCTTCCTATTTCATGATATCTATTATAGATTTCAGTCCTTATTTACACTTTCACTTTCTCACACCAAGAAACCATGCAAAATTTACATGTATCTGATTTGTTTCACTTGAGAATATGATGTCAACGTCCATTCATTTACCTACAAATGTCTCAAGTTTATCCTCAGTCTCCATGGAATCTTCTTTGTCCGTTCACTGGCATTTGGGCTTATTTCCGAGGGTTAGCTATTACAAACTGTGCTGATGAAAACACAGGTGTGCAACTATCTCTGTGGTATGATACCTCCAGTTCTTTCAGGAAGATACTAAGAAAGGACTGGCTGAGTCAAATGGGACCTCTAGTCCTGGTGTTACGAGGAACCTCCACAGACTTCCACAGTGGCTGCACACTGGGTATAGTGCGGGTATAGATAGTCTCAGGCTCTTGGATACCCAGTCCACACTCCCACACTCCCACCACTCCCAGCGAGAAGCCTTCCTTTTTCCCCACAGCCCCGCCAGCATTTGTTATTGGTTGATGTCTTGATAACAGCCAATCCTTCTGGAGACAGAATTTCAGAGCTGTCTCATTTTGCCACTTTTGAATGACCAGTGATGTTGAGCACTTTTTCATTTATTTATTTGTAGTCTTTGTGGATGTCCATTTTTGAACCAGGTCTTTAAATTTGGGAGGTCTGATTTTTTTTTACATTTCTTTATATATTCTAGATATTAGTACAGTATCATGCATCTACAAATACTGATAATTATACTTTTTTCCTATCTTTCTTCCTTTTATTTTCCTTGCTTATCTAATAGCTCTGGCTAATGTTTCCAAAACTATATGGCTTACGGCTAAGGTGGGAGGATTGTTGTGAGTTCGAGACCAGCCTGGGCTACAAAGTGAGCTCAAGGCCAGCCTGAACTACATAGCGAGACCCCATCTCAAAAAATAAAGAAATAAATAAATAAAAATTAAAAAAAAACTATACTGAATAGGAGTTGTGATAGTGGACATCTTCATTTAAGAGTCAAAGCTTTCGATTTTTGATCATTTAGTATGATACTGGCTGCTGGCTTGTCATAGATGGATTCTCTCAGATTGAGATAAAGACAATTCATTCTAATTTTCTGCAGGGTTTTTTTTTTAATCATGAATGGATGCTGAACTTCATCAAATTTTTTTTCTGCATCTACAAGTCAAACCCAAAAGCTCATATGAGGCAGAAAATTATAAAGATCAGGGCAGAAATTAATGCAGTAGAGACTAAAAAAAATACAAAGAATCAATGAATCAAAGACTTGATGCTTTTAAAGATTAAATAAAATTAATAATTCCTTAGACAACCTTATCAAAAGAGGAAAGAAAGACTCAAATTGATGCAAGTAGAAATGAAAAGGGTGAAATCACAACATATCCTGCAGAAATCCAGGTCATCATCAGTACCTACTTTGAGAACCTATATTCTAATAAGAGTGGAAACAAGAAACAGACAAATTCCTAGGTACATATGAATTACAGAGCTGAATCAAGAAGACATAAAAATTCTAAATAACCCAGTATCAGTCAGTGAAATCGAAGATGTAATTAAAAACCTACTAACAAAGAAAAGGTCCTGATGCAATTACTACTGCATTGTACAGGAAGTTTAGAGAAGATCTAATATCACTATTCCTCAAACTCTTCAGTGAAAATGAAACGGAAGCAGTACTCTCAACTCATTCCTGGAAGCAAGCATTATCCTGATATCAAAACCAGAGAAGAATCCGACCAAAAAAGAGAACTACAGGCTAATCTTCCTAATGAACACAGATACAAAAGTCCTCAGTAAGATACTTGAGGTGGAATACAACAAACGGAATACAGCAAATCACCAATATTATACATCATGATAGGATTCACCCTTGGGATGTAGGGACAATTCAACACACACAAAATGTAACACATCATATCAACAGAGCCAACAACAAAAATCAAGGCCATTTATTACCAAAAACATAAATAAACCAATCAACGAATGGACATCTCAAAAGACATACAAATGGCTGATAAGTATGTGAAAAAATGTTCAACATCATTAGCCATCAGGGTGAGCAAATCAAAACTACACAGAGATCTCACCTCCACAAACTGTGAGCTAAATAAGGCTTTCCTTCCTTCACTTTGGGTGTTGGTATTTTGTCCCAGCAATGAGAGAAAAGTAACCAAGACAACAACATATTAATAAAATAATTAAAATCAGCACACTAAAGATACACCTGCATACCATGTTTGTTGAGGTACAACTGACAATGGCTAAGCTATGGAAACAGGCGAGGTGTCTGTTCACTCTGAGTTAATAAAGAAAATGTGATAGCAGTGGAATATCCTTCAACCCTAAGATGACATACTACTGTTTGCCAGAAAATGAATGGAACTAGAGATTATGCTAAACAAAATAATCCAGAATGAGGAAAATGAGTGCCACATTTTCTCCCATATGTAGAAATAAGGGAGAAACAAAGAGATTCCCAAAAGAAAATGGGAAAAGGGAGGAGAAAAGCAAGGAGGATGATGGAGCAGCAACTTCATCAGAGCAGGTTACATCCATACAGGAACACGCTGAATGAAACCCACTTTTCAGTGTAACTAACGTACACTAAGAAAGAAAACAGGGAAAAGGGAGCCAAGACACGAAGTATGCAGTGTGTTATCTTGTGCAACTACAAACACTGGCCAAGTTACTCCCTGCAGCTGAAGGCCAGGACCACAGCCACCCTCCCCGGGTTGCAGAAAGCGGAGGCCCTGGTGCTGGAAACCTTCTCTTTTCTAAGTCACATCAGTGTGTTCCTTTATATACCCTAAACACACAGCTGCTTTCTGACACAAAGTATGAAATTTTAAAACACAAACAGGACAGGCAATTTGAAAGAAGGGAGGGAGGCAGAGGAATTGCATAACACTGGAGCAAAGCATGGCAGGGTTAAAGCATTTTGGGAGTTAAGACTCCCCAAACAGGCTATTTTGAAGATGACAATTCACAACTAAATGAGTAGTCTAGCTTTTTGGAAAAAATCAGTGTCAACGTGACTGATAGTTACAGATACCTTTACCTTACAGTAAGCAACATTCAGATACTTTCTTAGCCTTACTTTAACTCCATCCTAATTTGCCTCCCTCATTCTAATACCTTTTATGTATATTTCATGGAATAAAGATGAAAAATTATTAGCAATTTTTCTAGGAACCATTACCTTTGAAAAAACAGGAGACCACTATTCAAGACATATCACAGAGAATGTGCTTTATAGCGTTGACCAACAGCACAAGTTCAGACCTAGAATATTCCAGGCCAGTATCTAACTTGGAAAAAGTGCAGGCAAAACACTTTTATAAAGGAATGATGCCTGCAGAAGCTGAAAGATGGTATTAAAGTTAGAAGCATGGCGATTTTCCCCCAAATTACTCTTTTACTAAAAAATCATTCTCAAGCTTTCTGAGGTACTCATAGTCCCCTTCCTGACTCTGTTGTGAGGCTCAATCCATTGGTCCCCATTTCCTGGCAGCCTATCATGACTACTGCAGGTGCAGCACGGCCACAAAGGTGTAGAGGGACAACCCAGCAGGCAGGACCAGCGGAAGAGCCAGTTCCCCCCAGGCAGACAGTGACCTTCAACCTAACATTTCCCACCCAGTGAACTTAGCTAACAATCACTGCCCTCACTGCCACACGGAGGGCAAGGTGTGAGCATGGAAGGCTCAAATTAGAAAGGAAATGGAAAGTACTCAGAAACTGGAAAGTGCTGTGCAGGCTAGGATGGGATTTCTGAGATACCCACCAACAGGCCACAGAAGGAGAGGGCCTTACACACAACACTGTCTTGGATTCTTTCAGCTGCTGGGATGGCTCCTGAAATAGCTCCAAGAACAATAACTCTATAGCACTGACTCATAAAAAACTGCTAATTTACAAGTCTCCAATGAGTAACTATTAATAAAAACGTTTATACTTCTGTAAAAATATTTTCTACACAACCGTAATACCTCGTGTTTGGGCAGCTTCCTTTAAAGCAGCTAGAAGGTGAGGCTTCAAGTTATCCAAAATAAATCTTCCTTCAAGACCTGGAAAAAGGGACCTAGAAAATGAAAGATACACAATTACAATTGTCAAACAATGCTAAAATAACATGCTGGGCCGGGGTGTGGTCCGGTGGTGGGGCACTTGCCTAAGGTACAGGCTGTGCCAGGCTCTGCCTGTTCAATCCCCAGCCCTCAGCTAACCTCCAGCGGTCCAGCCTATCGTTCCATTTTCTTACATTATAATGCACACAGTAAGTCCCAGAATTGTTTCTATCACACAGGCTTTGGTCACAGAGAATCACATAGCATATAAACTTACAAGTATTCCATCTTAGGATAAAATTTAGTTTCTGACCTGTCAATACAGATCCCGAGTTACTGTTACTTAATATACCATTTTAAATTTCATCAAAATAACTCATTAGGGACTTACATGATGTAGCTATTAATAATGACTATAGCACTGTTTTCAGTGTTACTGAAATTTCCAAAAAAAATCATTATTTTGATAATTTTTTTTTGAGACAAGGTATGTCAGAGGTGGTCTTGAACTCCTATGTGAAAACGATCCTCCTGCCTCAGCCTCCCAAGTAGGTATGGACTTCCATGTCCAACACTGCACAAGTTTTTTAAGTGATAAAGGCTGAAACGCTTTTTCATTTTAAAATATGAAATGGATTCATTAGTATCATAACAAAGCATTCCTTTAAAAGTGCTCCTAACTGTAAAACCCTGCACAGATAGCCTGTAAATCTCCTAGGAACCAGCCAAGCAGGGCAGGCCCAGGGGCGCCCAAAGGCAGCCCGCACCCCTCCCTACCTTGGGTACTCTTCTGAGGTAATGTAAACCACGTCCTGGTCCGACACGGACGAGGAGAAGGGGATGAAGCTGCCGTTCTGCAGGGGCAGCAGCTCCAGCCCGAGCAGCTCGCTGTAGGCACGGTCAGAGAGCACGAACTCCAGCAGGTGCAGCTTCTCCTCTGCGCTGCCCGTGTGGGCGCACTTGCGCAGCACCTGCCGCACCCACGCGGGCGTCACCTTCCTCACGGGCCCGGCGGCGGAGCCGAGCTGCACAGCGGCGGCCAGGTGCATGGGCACCTTGGCGATCTGCTTCCCTGAGCTCTGGAGGTAGTGGAGCACGGACTGCGTGTAATCCAGGTTTTCGTCGAGCTCGGAGAAGTACACCTGCTCCAGCCGCACCCAGTCTTGGCTGGCTGAGTGGATCACGGCGTGCTGGAAGAGTTCCCCAAACAGCGGTGCCAGCACCGGCCGCCAGTGCACCTTGACTTTGCTGGCCTCGGGCCAGAGCCGGTAGATGAGGTCCACCGAGAGCGGGAAGTCTGAGCTCTTGTCTGTCTCCAGGCGCCTGATGCAATCTAAGATCAGAGTGGCGTAAGCTTTGGGGACCACAGTCAGAACCAGAACCTCGTTCCACAGGGCCGCGGGGTCTCGCCACTGGTCCAGCTCCCTCCACTTGATGCTCCTGCGGTTGTCGGTCAGGCCGAAGAACCCACTGATGTGCACTGGAAGCCCCGTTCTGCTCTCCTCGCCCGGGGGTAAGGGAAGAAAGCAAAATGCTTTTCCTGGGAAATCAGACACCGCTCCCTTTTCTTCATCCTCTCTGCCTGATAACGACGTAGCAATTCCAATGATTGGGACAAACTTCAATTCGTCAGCTAAAGCATCCAGTTTACCGCTCATGCCGCGCCCACCCACGCTGTTACACACCAACCAGGCGGTCTTCTGTGCATCCTTGGTGCCCTCGTCTTCCAAAGCTATGTTTACATGATAGGTCACACAGGTGACGCTACTGCTTGGGACCTTTTTACAGTAGTTACTGATGGCGGTTCCCAGAATCTTCACGGAATCAGGCCTCTCCTGTTTCAGGGCTGTATTCTCACTGGCCGTCACTCTGAACACCAGTCTCTCTGTCCCGCTGGCCTCTCTGACGTGTAGAGACACGTCCTGCACGCTCTTCAGAAAGAGCAGCACTGTGTCTGCATCTGCCCTGAACGACTCAAACAACTCAAGAACCTTCTGCTTATTGTAGAGGTTGCTGCTGAGCTGGGAAGGCTGCAGGCGAAGTGGGAACCGGAAGAACGTTCCTGGGAAACTGCCGTTCACAAACGTCTCCTTGGTGCTTCCAAAAACGCCAATGAATGGGGCAAACTGGTCAGAAAGCTCACTAATTTCTTTGCTGTCATCTCTGAGATTCCAACACTGGCCTGATTCTTGGGGGCCAAAAAGTGTTTGATGTGGATCTAACATTCCAATCTGGTCACCACTGAAGATACATGGAACATCTGTAAGCAAAACTTAAGTCATGACCAATTCTGAAATTTACAGCACAAATGTAATTAGATCTATAATGAACTCATAATTACCTTCGAAATATTACACATGAAAAAATGTGAGCCAAGGTTCAAAAGTAACCTTAGCTCTGGAAATGTAATTCACTGAATATGAAAAGTAATGATTTCTCTGAACAGGCACTTCACAAACCTAAAATTCATTTGGAATCAGAAGAGACCCAGAATAGAATAAACAATTTGGGGCAACAAAGGCAAGGCACTGGACATTACAATTCCTTGACTACAAAGCTACTGAGATAAAAACAGCACAGTACTGGCAAAAAGAGAAAGAAGAAAAGAAAAAAGAACAAATAAAAAAACCCACCAGACTCAAGGATCAATGGAACAGATTAGAACATGGAAAAATAACTCTAAACATTCAGCCACCTCATCTTTAACAAAGGAGCCAACCATGTTCCCTGGAAGAAAGAAGCCTCTTTAATAAATGGTGCTGAAAAAACTGGCTTTCCTCATGCTGAAGATTAACACTGCACCTGTATCTTTCACAGTGCACTAAACTAAAATCAAAATGGATCAAAGATCTAAATATTATAATAGAAACATTAAATTTGCTGCAAGACAGAATAGATAGAACTCTCAAAGACACTGGTGTAGGCAAAGACTTTATGAGTAAAACCACAAATTCATAGGGAATATTACAAAGAATGAACATTTGGGATCTTATCTTACTCAAAAGTTTTTACACAACAAACAGAAACCTCCAAGAGAGAGACAAGACAACCCAAACTGTGGGAAAAAATGTTGCCAGCTATTCTTCAAAGTACTAATATCTAGAATACATAAAGAAATAAAAAATCAGATTCCCCCCAATTTAAAGACCCAATCCAAAAATAGACATCCACCATGACTAGATACTTCTCAGATGAAGTAGTGGAAACTGTAAATAAAGTGTGGTAAGAATTGAAGAATCGACGTAAAAAGCAGAAACAAAGCTTTTGTAAACAAAGGGAAGACAGGCTGAATTGAGGAGAGAAGGGAATGGGAAAGAAAGCAAGAAGCAAGACACACGATGAACCGTACAAGTTTCACACAATGAATGCTATCATTGTATCCATCTAAAGTGCACCTAAAGTAGATGAAAAAGACATAAAACATCTTCCATGATTACTGTAAAAGCTAGGATACATTCAAACATTCACCAAACAGAAGATGTAAAAAGTACTTAGACATTTACTCAGCCCCATAATCACAGAAACTCAACTCACAGTATAAGTGATGACTTATACTGCGCCCTAGCTACTGCCGCACCCCAGCCTGCTCAGTCTCTCTTCAAACACAATCCTAAAAGGGACCAATTCCATAAAAACAAATTGTATCACACAGAATCAATCAGCACCGAGGACAGTGACCAGCAGACCAGCCACATACTCATAGGCACCCATGCAGAGGGATATTCACACTCAACGCATCCCACTGTCCCTACAAACCAGAAACCTCACGTTCTAGATTCAAAACATGACTTCAGTCATCTTCAAAGTGCTCAGAAGTCTTTAAAAAGTAGAATGTTAAAATGAGGAGAAAATATACAGATACTGGAACCATTTGGAAGATCTTCATTTCCTCAGTTACCAACACCATGAAATATTACACTTCTTTAGCCTCATATTTAGAAATACTGTATGCCCAAGAAAGACCAGTAAGAACCAGTCTGACTCCTAGAGATTTACATGTGACAGTTTTTCCTAGAGTAACACTATTCTGCTTTGCATGAGCTACATTTTAAATCTCATGTCAGCACAAATGACACCAATCTCAGTCAGAGCTCTTAATTTCAGCTTCCAGCATCACACAATGAAGCGGGTATGTTATTACAGTGTTTAAAATACAAGACACTCTGCTATTTCCTTGACGTGCTTCTTGCCACTGCGAAATGTAGGGAAAATGCCTTTACTACCATTTCATCTCTGAAGACAACCACACAAATTACAGAATATAGGCCAACGTCTTTTCCACTGTCTGGGCTGAAAAGCCGCACACACACCTGTGATGTGGTAGACGGAATTGAAGCCAATTCCGAATCTTCCGACCTTCAGAGGGTCGTCCTTCTTCCTGCTGCGGGCGATCTCCTGAATGCCATGCCAGTCCTCGGGGGTGAACACTGCGTTGTTGTACACGTAGAGAGCAGGCCCTGGCGACAGAGCACAGCAGGTGTTAGGAGAAGTGAGACCCAACTACTCTGTGCTACGTGTCAACTCCAGCTGTTTTCACAGTAAAAACTAAACAGACGAACGCCCAAAATTAACAGCCGAAGAATACATTACTGCTGACCAAAACTGCAGACAGGAAAAAGTGAGGGTACTGAGGAACACAGACACCAAAATATAAGACACACCACAGAGTTAATCACAGTACACTCCTCCTGGGAAAACTCTTCAAGACGGCAGACAAAGTCAAATATTGGGTAGATGGAATTACCTAAAAGTGTACTAAAAAGACCTGTTACTAGAGAAACTTTATTAATGTATTATCTCATAGAGTGAAACTAATCCTTTGATAATCATAAATTAGTAATGTTAATAATCACCTGGCATGTAGTTTTGCTTTTACTATTTTTTTGTTTTCTATGCAAGACATTATTTATGTAATTTAGAAGTCATTAATGTGACCAGTGCTTACATTAGTGTTCTAAAATAAGATGTCTTCTTAGTAGTTTCTTTTTTAAAACTTGTATTCAAATATTTTAAGACTTGTATTCAAATATATTCAATAATAACTTCTCCAGCTTTAAAGATGATCCATGTTTTTCCTTTAGAAGGTTGCCCAAATCTGAAATATGCAAAGCGTGCACAGCTGGGTGGACGCCCATGAAGGGAATGCACCAGTGTAAGCACCATGTAAATGAACTATTTGCGGGTTCCCAGCTCTGCCAGGGGTTCTCCTCACATACTGTTAACGTCGTGCCCAGACACGTGGATGCTGGCCTAGCTTGTTTTATAAAAACGGCATGACCACTATTTCTAAAATAGTTAAAATCAGGATAGGAAATGAGCCACGGCTGCAAAGGCTACAGTGATGACAGGTACCAAGCAGTAAGAAAGGACTCTGAAGTCAGCGAGCTCAGGGTCACCAGTCTGACCAAAACCAACTCCAGGCATAAGGCTTGCTTTCCTCATCTGTCCAACAAGGATAAAGGCAGTTATCGGCCCACAAAGCTACAGTGAGGATCCGACGAGACAATGCAAGCGAGGGGCTGGGTACATTACCCAGTATGCCTACCACGGCAGATGGCACTGTTTTAAATGGGTTTCCTATACAGTACTGCTATAGGCAGCTGGGTTAGACACCGATATTCCAGGCAGGCAGCCAGGGCTGGGCCCTCGAAGGAGCCAGTGCAGAAGGCCAGATGCCCTGCAACTATGGAGGTGACAGGCACCTCTGCTGTGGGCCAGACTTCAAGATAAAAGATCAAACAAATGCACCCACACACTTCTAAGCATCGGGACTGATATTCTTAGTAAGTATCAGTCACCGTGAGAAAGCCAAGAAGAGCCACTAACCCAACCCCTCTGAGAAGAGCCCCCATCTGTGTTCATGCCCGCTTGCTGCATGAATTGCTTCCCCATTTGTCCCTGATTTTGGTTTGTTTGGTTTTTTTGGTACCAGGGATTGAACACATGACCTCGCCACTGCCAGGCATGCGCTAATGCCACCAAACACTCATAATCTTATCAACCGACCATAGTTTCGTCCCAAATCAGGTCCACCCTGTGATTTCCGATTTCTCCCCACCTTGGACCTGCCTCGCCTTGTGGCTTTGCTTTATAAAATCCCTAGAAAAGGCAGCGTCCTCAGCAACCCACTCAAGACCCCTTCAGTCTGTCCCAGACAGAAGCTTTCTTTCTCTCAATAAATATATTCTGCTCTTAACCTCCACTGTTCCTAAAATTCATTCTTTGCTCTTTGGAGAAGACAAACACATACCAGACATTTAGTGGGTTGGGAGTTTCTTTTTCCTATATCATTACTATGGGTCCTAAATAGAAGACTATCATTCTTTATAGAATACTTTATATAATGCTATATAATAATATTACAGGCACAGTAGTAAACTAAATGTCCTGTGACTTAACAGGTAGTTACAGCTGTTTTAAAAGGCCAGGACGCTGCAGACTATGAGCCCGAAAGAAGAGTCTCCTGCTCTGGGGTCAACGGGAGAGCCAGCAGCCAACCCCAATGCGTGACTGCTTATTTAAAACGTCTGCCAAGTTACAAATGCTTTGTGACAGGTCCAAATAAAGAAGTAGAACCCGTAAAACAATTTCCCCTCATAGCCTCGCTCACCCTGAGGTATCGAAACTGCTGAAAGCGCCCCTGTCAGCAGGGCTTCCAGGCACCCTGGCTGTTGCTATTCAGGGCCAAAACCAGACAAAGACACGCGAAGACAGCCAGCACGGGGTGACTGCAGGAGCACTAGAGGCCAGGGGGCCGATGCACCACTTCCCAAGGAGCCCCTGCTGCTAGCAGAGAGAACCCGGTCACCACTCGGTGTCTTTAACCTTGGTACAGTTCAGGGCATACTCATGCTGGAACTGGGAAAGAAGCCTTGTATTTTGCCTGTGCTTCCAACGCTGATGTAAGGTGTAAAATACTCCACACCTGTCCTGATTCAAAGGCGGTGCTCTTAGCTTAGACATTAAGCAGGAAAAAAAAAGGTTTAAAAATGCTGTTCTCTTTGACACAGCTACTAGTTTATACAGCTTATGTCGCACGAGACATGAACAATTAATGGGTTACATATGGAAGCAATAAGCATCCTGAGAAGAAAATAGAAGGGACACCGGAGGCTGGCAGCCTCCTTCCTCCCCTCACCTCAGAAACACTCCGGAAATGTGCCCAGTCAGTGCCTTCTAGGCAGACGCACCCAGTGTTTGCTAGGAGGGGAGTCCTTCGCCATCAGACACCTTGCCAAGGGGTGGGCTGCTAACTCTAATCTGGAACTTATGCATTTATGAGGCCTAATGCCCGCCCGAGCTATGTGGTTTTCAGAAAGATAAAAATGCTTTATGACTGAATTAGCGCCCGGTGTGTAAGACTGGTCTACAAGTATCACCCAGAGACCACTCTGGCTAACTCCAGGCCAAGGTGCCTCCTAACACAGCACAGAAGGACTCCGGGGAAGGTGCTAAGGGTGCCAGACTCCACTTATGCACCTGAACCCTATGCCTGACACCCTTAGCAAAGACCTCTTACACTGGTGCATCTAGTGTGACCTTCTGAGCCTCTTGTCTCCTCCTACAAAAAACAACACAGGCAAGCTCAACACAAAGAATTCTCATATGCCACACTAGTGCCAATAAACAGGAAGAAAACCGTAAACCAAGAAGGTGACTATTCACAGCTAATGCAGAAAAAAGACTGCTCACAAGTAAGAGCAGAAAAAGTCCTGGATCGTATCTCTTAAGTACAGACAAAGACTTTGGCCACCTGGTTTTATACACCCACTTTTATTTTAAATTGGCTAATCTGACATTACTTTTCAAGAGCCTATCTATAAATATGCACAAACTCAGCTAAATAATCTTGTTTTAAATATCGTTTAATAAGGTGAATCCAGGACTGAATGCAAAAACTCCTAGCCACTCAGCAGAATGTGAAAGCAAAACACTGCTAGGATCTCCTGCACTCTCTCCTTTAAGCTACTGCGGTGAGTAATAACGACACCAGGAAGACACCAGGTAAAAGCACCATCAGGTCTGTGACCTCTTCTAATCCTCAAAACTGCCAGAGGGGCTCTGCCCCGCTCCATTTCACATGTGCAGAAGTGAACAGGAGGCTCAGAGCTACCAGCAGGCACCCAGGCCCTAGAGGCCTACATTCAGACAGTCCTGTGCAGGACCGAGACCAATCTGGACAACTTTTCACAGTCATGAAGTTGGAGCCAAGCAATCTTACAAGCTAATCTTCTCATTGCAAAATGCTGTGGCCTCCGAAATGACCAACCTGGGCTCAGCAAGGCGGCAGGAGTTAGGGTCGGAAAGGAAGCCACCTGGGGTTACCAATTGCACACATCTCACTTTATGGACTAGCATACAGCTCTCTAATCACAAATGTGATCTAAAAATGACTATCATAATTACAGTAAATGCTAATAAATATTTAATAATGATGAGCCCTCTTAGACCATAAAATATCTTTTAAAAACTGTATGACTTACATCTCTGAAAATCTGGCTAGGGCACTCGACCTACCCTCCTTGTTCTCAGTACCTTTCCAACACAAGCAGCCTTCGCAATCACCCTGTCAGCCTCAGAGCTGCAGTAAAACTGAAGGACACTCAGTGCAACGCTTCCCAAAGCACAGGCAAGCTGTCAGGAGGCAAGTGGTCAGGAGTTTACTCCTGCTGGTACTGTCATTTCCCTGCCCCTCTTACCTCTAACACACGTTTCCCACCGCAAAAATCAGCATGCAAATCACAGGCTCTGACAATTTCTTTGCAAATACAAAAAATTATTATGTATATGGAAAGGGTGTCCCTTTAGGTTACTGATGATATAAAATACAAGATGACTGAATAAAATAAAGGAGTAAAAAAAAAAGACTTGTCTAATTACACTACTTGGCATTTTGTTTTAACTTAAAATAGAATTAAAACATACTAGGAATGAAATACACGTGGTGCATACACAAATGAAATACAAATAATAATGAGGTTTCTTACTTAATAAGGTATTGTCAGTCACTTAAAAATTACCTGTTAGTATATAAAAGTATCTCCCAGCTATTGATTCTTACCTTGATATGGTGCCATGTCTTTTGACCAAAGACTCTCTGTTCCATACTGAGTTTCATCATATAAAAATTTAACTTCTGTGGCCCCAGCATCTTCTGCATTCTGAATTAATTCCTAAACATGAAATACAACAAACATACTTAATAATATAGCTATCTATTTCTCATTTTGTTATTTACTTAAAATATTTTAAAAATATACTTTTTAAGTGAAGAAAACCCATTTACTGCTCCATACATATGAAACAGTGATTGAAAAGCTCTCCAATTAAATGCATCTGAAATTTGTCTACATTGACTACCTACCACTAAACACAAGTCCTAGGACTATTTAAAGTTCTCTCTCTTATTTACGATTGCCTAAATTCTTTGTTCAAAAGAACTTATTCCCAAAAATTGCACTTTGTTCTCTGTGGGAATATAACCTCATGCTTGAACAGTTTCCAAAACCAGACCTTCAGTTAGCATTTGCTTACCAAATTTACCTTCTCTTAGAAAAATCTAAAACCTAAAAAGCAAACGCTATACATCTGTATTTCCCCTTCAATAGGCTATTTTCTTGAGGTGTGAAACACAAACATGTCTTTTCCCTACACTACGCAGAAAGCATCATGATGATGAGAACTGATTCAACACTTTCATGAAGAATGGAGTGGTTTATTGGTTGGATGGATGGTGCATGAGTGGACGGTGGCCAGAATCCTAAAATGCAAAAAGAGCAAACTATACAATCTACACCCATGAGGAGTCTGAACAAAATTTCCAGCTCCAACATCCCAGTCACTTCTGGACACCTATCAAAACACACTGGAGTCTGGTCAACCGGAAGCAAGCTGCGAAATGAAGTAAGATCCATTCCTCAGAACTGTGAAGGTGGAGCTTTTGGAGATTTCAATGCGGTGGCACACATACAGCAGGCTCGCCCCACTGCCCCAGAGCCAAGTCCATCGAAGCTGGACCTGAGCTCCAGAGGCATTATCCTTTCCTATCCCTCAGATCCTGTCTAAAGTAAGGAAAACATCAATCATTCCCTGAGCGAGCACTGACATAAACCAAACCAAATCAAAGGCTTACATTTTAGATGGATGAGTCATTAGAAGCACAATAAACCATCCCACATGAAAAACCCATAAACCTCTCACTTTGGGGAGAAGCACCTTCTTATCTCGCCAGAACCTAAGCAGTTACACAAATACTACAGTGAGCACTTCAGGGAAGCCTTCCTCAAACAGAAAGGTAACTCCTTGTCTGGAGAAAACCCAACAACCAAAAGGAGTCTATGGAACAGTGCAGAAGGGAAAAGCCAGGTCTGAGATCAGGCTTTCACCAAGTGCACTCCTGAGGCCAGGGTGTGCTGCCCATCAGCTGTGCAATCCAAGGGGGACACTGGAACATGCCCAGCCACCGCCTCCTCACAGCTGGGAATTCCTACTTATACAACTCTCTGTTTTTGAAATGATTTTCAATTTTTAAAACCACAACTCTACTCTGTTCAACCTAACAAAATCCCTAAGAATGAGCAAATTTATTTCACTAGGATAGTGTAATAATACAAAGATGAATATAAGGACTAACTAGGTAGAAAATACAATATTAAGTTACAAAGCAGTAACACTTTAGAGTTTATATCTTGTCTTTATTCAATCTCTGTGGATATATGTGTATTTTAGGAAGCAAACATGGAAAAACTGAAGATAAAATATTAAATTCCAGGCTCCAACTATAAATCACAAGTTGTATTAAAAAAAAAAAAAGTAGGAAGCTTTTCCCCATCATCCTGGGGGATCCCTTTCACACTGATTCTGAGAAGTAGCATCCAGAAATTTTGCAGTTGTTCTTAATCAGGCCACTAAACTATCTGGACATTTCAACAAACACAATAGGGGTTCAGATATGAGTGAATTTTAAGATTCCTATTAAATCCAGCACTGACATATCCAAGGAACAAAGATTCAATTGAACTGGTTACACTACAAAAATGCACAAGTGAGGCTGTAGCAGCCCTTAACCACAGACACTGAGAGCAGCCGCCTAGGTTCCCCCTCACCTGCTTCCGTGTCGAGAAGACCCTACTCCTGCGACCACCCACAGACTCTCGGTGCTGACGTCACTGTTCACTATCTCCCCACTCGCACAACATCCTTTCTCACCTTCACTTTCCCAACTCACCACCAGGAGAACAACTTTCAAATTCCCCTCTGTGAACCAACAGCACCTGTTCCAAAGATAGGCTGAAACCAGCTCCAGCATCTCTCACTCAGCGCTCCCCAAGCACACCTATGCGAGTTGGACAGCCCTTACTGCTGAATATCTACCAGCTTAACTGGAAGATGAAATCAAGGCCAAGATATTGAAGATGAGAAATACCGAATGTCTTCCTTCATTTTTTGCTTTTGTTTTTGTTTTTGGTACCAGGGACTGAACTCATGACCTCACACTTACCACGCAAATGGTTGAGCCGCTGAGCTAACTCTCCAGCCCCTCAGTTTTTATTTTTAATGATTATATTCAAACTATAAGAGTATACCATAGAGATAAATAGGTTAAAGAAATTATCACATTAAACAGTCTCAAGAAAGCACGCCTCTCAACCCAGGGCCCAGGACGTGCACCTGGCCTCCAGCAAGTGCTGTGTCGTTCATCTGTCCCTTCAGTAAGGGATCCCCTACCAATGGTCTAGGCAGCCCCCCGCAGCTGAGTGCATTCCTCTGCCCTGGAAACTGCATCTCAAATCCATCCCTGCATCCCTGCATAGCACTGCAGTCATGGAAGCAAGCAAACACAAGCATTCAGATTCAGACAAAATCCTAAAAATTTAAAACACTAAGAACCTTTCTAAGGAATTTCACTTTGTCTCATTTTCATTGAAGTCCATCACACTTGAGCACAACACATACCCTACCTTAAGAATCTGTCCTCCTTCTGGGTACCTTCTTAATATGTCCTTGAGAAAATCAACAAGGGGTGGAGTTGTCTGTCCAAATCGACCTGAAGGACAGAACATATTTTAACTGACTCAGGAAAGAAAACCCATGACCTTGTGTGGTTTGACTCCCCCACAGGATCACCATCCAGTCAAGGCTTCACATCCCTCACCACAGAGCCCTGGTACGAGTCTACCCGGTGGAGCGTTTGCTAGACAGAAAAGCAGTCAACTTTGTCAAATCTCAAGACTTGTATCTGAACTACCAACTAAATTTCAAAAACATTTCTAAAGCTGTACTATCACAAAAGTCTGTGACTTCAAAAATAAAAAACACTGGGTGGAGGGAGTGGAAGCGTTACTTTCCAAAACAAATGATGGAAATGGTTTGTGCTACTTTACTGATGAACAGTGAGCCAGGACAGTGGTGCCGCTTCTCTGTGGGATCAGCAGGCCCCATCTCAGCGTATACCTAGGTTAAGTACTCCTAAACCTGTGTACACTAGATACTGACCAGGTCACCTTCGGACAAGGGACAGCAAGGTGTAAGCAGAAAAGGGGGCGGGGAAGTAACTCTTCAGAGGCACAGAATTTTTAAATCTGCACATAAGTAATCTATTCTTAAAAATTAAAAAAAAAACATATCAAAGTAAGATGAGAATCACTATCAACGAGACAAGAGACCACAACTGTTTCTGGAACAAGAAGTGCTTCAGAGTCTAGAGTATTTGCATATACTTCACGAAGTCTCTTAGAAATGAGAGGCAAATCTAAACATAAAATTCACTCATGTTTCACATGTACCTTAACACATATAGCCTGAAGGTATCCTGTGTATTTCAGTGTTTTGACCATACACTGTGGATGAAGTCAGGTATGAAATTTTCCATTGGAGGCACATGTATACATTTCAAACGTTTTGGATCTGCATTACGGGTGCTCCATCTGTATAAATTAATTCGCCTCATTTGGGCACTAGGACCGAGACCAAGCCCAGCCAGGACTACTTCCCTCCCGCCCACCTCTCCCCTGGCTCCAGCTACCCTTGTTTTCCTCTGACTGCTGCTCCCTCATTGCACCCCAACATTACATGCTTTCACCTCACTTTCGTAAGAATTTTTTTAAAGATTTTTATTCAGGTATGACTGAGATACAAAGAGCTACAAATGCAGCTCCGTGTTTGGAAATAAGTGCACCCCTGCGCACCACCGAAGTGTAACAACCATCAGCGCCATCTCACCTGTCACCTCCGGAATTCCCTCCCACTTCCTTTTTGTTTCTCCTCTCCTTTTGTGGAAGGTCTGTTAGTTTAAAACCTACCTTGTCGGTACATTTTTAAATATTACTATGATTTATATGCAGGTTTCCTCCCAAAGTCTCACATGCTCACAGGTGAGGTTTGCGGGAGGGACTGGATCGTGGGTGTGTGACTCTGAATTAGCTCACTGATGGGTTTAGCACAATTCTGGGTGCAGAAGATGAATTTACTGAAGAGAGCAGACTCACCCCGAGTGTGGGTGACACCAACCAATAAGCCGGGATGGAGTAAAAAGGGAAAGAAGAAAGAAACCTAGCTGCCTCCTGCCTGCCGTGCTACAGACTGTTTCTCCTCTGCCGTGTTCTCCTGCCTCAGAGCCAGCTGACTATGGTCTTAATCAAACCTTTGCAAATCGTAAGCTGAAATAAAGCTTTCCTCCTCTAACTTATGCTTGTCCCAGAGATAAGAAAGGTAACTAAAACAAGTACACAATACCGATAATCATAATCAGACCTGATATTTTACAACAGTAGATCTCCATACCACATTACCTTGCATAATTAACCTTGAAGCCTTTCAGTCAGCACCTCCCCATTCTCCCTCCCTTGCATCCCCTTGCAGCCATCAGTTTGCTCTCTACTTCTACACAACCTTCATGCACCTAGACAGGGCATCTACCCCTGGAAAAACACAGTACCTCCCCCTTTTAAGCCTTTTGATTGAAGGTTCACAAAAAGATGACCATGTTTGTCAGTCAGATCTCCAATCTTGATCCAATCAGGTAACTGAAAAGAAGAAAAGGCATGAAAAGCAACATAATCTGTAATATTACAAATTCAAAAGCTTACCTTAAACTTTTTTCACTTCAGAAGTAATGCTTGTTAATTACTATCAGGAAATAAATTTCCCTAGGAAACTGAATATTCAGAAAGAGTCAAATCTTTATTTAAAAAATTAAAGGATTTAAATCTAAAAGATTTAAGGATTTTCCATAAATACTTAACATAAATTTCTAGTGTAACATAACTCACTTTTTTTCTTTTTTGCAGTGCTAGAAATTGAACGTGCGGCCTCAGCACACTGCAGCGCAAGTTTCCTCCTGGGGAAGCTGCACCTCACATTTTTAAATGATGACTCAGGATTATTAACATACACAAAACTATTCTTTTGGTTAACATTTCCAAAGTGTACTTATGGCTTAAAAATTAACTCCAAGAGACCTCAATAGTATTTAAGGACAAAAAAAATATTTTAAATTTCAGCAGCACGTTTTTTTCTCAAAAGAGTATTCCTAGAATACGCTTTGGAAAACATTACCACAGATGTTACCACAAAATTAAAACAAAAAACAGTGACGTTAAAAGAAGCAACAAACAAGGCTTCCAGTTCCTAGAGCTGTTTCAGTCTTCACGTTCCTTGAAAGCAACTTTCCTGAGGAACGTAGCGATGCTTGCTCTCCTGTCACTGTTTCTCTGCTTCCCAAGAGGGTGGAGCACCAGACGCACTACTGTGATCAGCAAGAACAGATAAGGGTGCCGCTGGTGAAAAGCAGCACAAAGCCAGATCCGCCCACTCCCACCTGCGTCCACGCGGGTCTTCCCACGCAGGGTGCCCTCCGACAGCTCAACAGACTCCTAAATACTCCTCAGAGCACACCGAAAGGGCACCATGCTAACTCGCACTTCCTAGCAGGGGGAGAACACTATTTAGGGCTCTGAACTCTCCACACTGCCAGCTGTCTGCTGTACACCCCACACTGCTGTCCACCAGGGCTCCAGACTCCAACCCTTGGAAACATAAGCTACCAGCTTCACTCCCAACACCATCCCTCATCTTCGTCTCATTACTAGGTTAACACCTTGCTGGAGAGCACAGGACAGCCGCTAAGCCACACCTCCAATGGACTTCTAAGGCCGAGTGTCCATCCCCCAATTGCCTCAACAGAACCCACACCTCTCCTTTCCTAACCAAATAGACTTCCTACATCTGCTGGATTTTTACATCCATCTCCTACCTGGTTTCCTTACTCTCTGTACATCACCCTCATGTAAAACACAACTCGAGGCATGCTTGGCTTTCTCAGTTAAACACTTTCCTGCACACCTTCCCCCATGAATCTTACAGCTACCCCGGGAGACCAGCTCCCTCGTCACACAGGTGCTCCAGCCAGCATGGAGAGCCACTGTTAACACAGAAACAATCCAAATTCTGTGACATATTCACAAAGCAGCTTTAGTGAGAAAAATTACTTTACTAAGCTGCTGCACAATCCTAGACATACATATACAGTGCAAACACACACATATATACACACACATGCACTTATGAAAACCACCAGAAAGGCAGCAAGCTAACAGACACACAGAGATGAAGGAGACAGACAAACAGCCTGGGAAAAAAGATGCACAGAAATAAACAAAAATCACTGACAGTATTTGTGGAGTTCCTTGTGACAGCCGACAGGTCAACGTCTGCTCGTTGATTCTGGAGGCAGAAGACTGCTAATTCTGAAGAGCCGGAACACGTGAAAACAAGATGTTTCACCAACTGGCACAGATGGACCTCAGGGGGGACACAAGGAAGCTCCCGAGGGAATGATCAGATCAAAGTTATTATTCAGCCAAACTGTCACCATGCCGTGCTTGGTGCCTTGCTACCAACATCCGCTCTTGGCAGAACTTGATGGCTTTGCTGTTTCTCAACAACCTGGGTTTGAGTTGGCCCAAGGCTCCACTGCATCCTGCGAAAGGGGCCTGGCTCTAGACAAAGATATTCTGTCTCTCACATCATTTTGTACCTCTCTAACAAAATCTGATGGCCTGAACCAGACAAGTATTCTTGCCCTCCACTGGTGATGTCATCAGAGGTGTGCATTCTATTTCTATGTAGGTCCAGTACCATTCAAAACCAATAAATTCCAAAGAGAGTGCTCAACAGTTTTTAATTCCCTGCCTATCCTAAAATATTTAAATTCTCACCATTAATTCAAATCTAGAATGTTCTTGGCAGTACAAGAAATGGAAACACCAAAACTAGGAGTGATGACAGATGCCTGTAATTACAGCACTGAGGCTGAGGCTGAGGCAGGAGAATTGCTGTAAATTCAAGGCCAGCCTGGATTACATAGAGACCTCATCTCAAAGAGAGAAAGAGAGAAATATCACAAACACTCAAGACCCTTTTTAATGACACAAACCCAACTTCTCTGCATCAGAACTGTGCCCTGTACTTATTTTCTGCCTGAGCTCTATTGTTGGTGTCTAAAGTTCATTTTGTAAGATGTGAGCCTGTCTTTGCACTTAGCTTTTATTTATCCCCAATAACACCTTGACAGAGTCTGCGTATGCAACAATAGTCTATAGTTAGAATCACGCAGATATGGGTTCAACTCCTAGTCTGATCTCCCAGCAGTTCAGCTGTACTGTTCTGCAAAACGGACAGCAATAACTCATAAAGTATTTCTGAATATTAAACGGTGTGTGGAAAGTTCCAACACTGTCTGGAACTTAATAAATGTTAGCTAATACATGTTAATCATATTCGAATACATTTTAACGAAATACAGAAAGAGAAAGGTGCTAAGCCTCACTCGCTTAGCAAAATTCTATCTCCAGCTCTGAGTTTCAGTCCTGGATCTGCAGCTCCCTGCTGCATTTCAATATCCAATCGAAATCTTACGATTGGCAACAATTAACTTTACTGCATTCACAACAGAACAGGAAAGCAACCTTCCAAGTGCAAGTCGCACACATCAAGCAGCACAGTGAGCAGGACCAGATCACCCACTTTTGTACATTTTCCTAGAAGCTTCTTTCTTGCCTCACCATCTGCTGAACCATGTGTGAAAAGCAACCTGATCACTACACTTCTCCCCAAATCGCCTGCCTTCTGTACCTGCTTATCTTGCTCCCTTGAACCTTTTGTTTGTCTGGGCTTACTTCAGGTTTCTAAACTTTCTTGGCTTTCTACCTAGCCCACAGATCCATTTGGTCTCAAACCAGCAGAGGTGTGTTTTCTGCAAAGTCTCGGAGCATCCTTTCACTTTCCTCATGGCAGCCTGTCTAGCACCTCACGGCCTCACACCAGGTCTCGGTCCTACCACTACCCCACGGCCTTCAGGGCTGCATATCCAGGCTGTGCACCAACACCTGCAGGGACACCAGACAGAGCCACGGTGAGCCCAGTGGGCCAGACAGAATCCAAGGGATGACCCCACAAGAGGTGAGCACAGAACCAGGACAGCAGACAGGAGAGGGAGGAGACTGGAGAGAGACATTACAAGATAGTCACTGGTGTAGAAAAAGACAGGAATGACAGAATTTGCTCCTTTTCGATTTTTTTGTAAAGGCCCTAATCAACTCAAAACCCCACAGAACTGAAGCAGACAGATACATCCATGGAAAAGCCTAAGGACGAAGTCTGTTTAAATGGGCACTAAACCAGGGAAGTTACCCAGGTATGTGGAAAGTCAAGCGTATTTTACTGAAGAATAAAAAATTACCAGTACCAAGTTTCCTAGGATTTGTCAAGACAAAAAGCAATCCAGTCCAGAAATGTCATTCTCTATGGCTCAAGAACTTTGAGGATCAATCCACTCAGCTTTCACTCTTTCTGATCCTGAGAATGATGTTCCTCATCACATAAAAATGCAAAGACTATTACAGCAAAAGAACAATTTTTCAAAAAAATGTTTTTCAGTAAACTCCCCCTTTTATGAAAACTGCAGAACTTGTACCCATCTTAAAGGATATATATGACAATATGAAATGTTATTTTCCAAAGTCTTGATCTATTCAAGAAAATTTATGTGCAGTTCATAAGTCTGAATACAAGTTTTCTCCTCAGAATAATAAGTCCCATTTTAAATTATGTCAGAAGATGCTCGGGGTGCAAGCGCTGGGGAAAACTTCGGAGAGCTCCAGTTAACCGCAAAGACGATGAGCGATGACTCGGAAACTCTGAGTAGGACTCGGGGCACTTCAATGGTGATGCCGCTAGACTAGAAAACCTCCCTGGGGGATGGCAGCGAAAAATGCGTGCTGGTTGCAGGAAGTGAAGACAGAGGACGGCCGCGGAGCTGGGGCGGGGACTCGCGCGGGAAGGCTGCGAGGCCGCGCCCCAGGCCCAGCGCCCCCCGCCGCCCGCCCGCCCGCCCGGCCGCCGTCTCCCGGCCCGGCCCCGCCGCCTACCTCCCGGCCGCCGCGCCACAGCCGCTGCTCCGCCGCCGGCCACCCGGTCTCCGCCGAGATGCGCTCCTTCAGCTCGCGCGCGGTCCCGGACGCCGGCAGCGCCACGGTCCTGCAGCCCACGCAGCCGGGGAGCACGGTCACGCGGACACACCTGCGGGAACACGCGGGCTCAGGGGCCGACCCCGGCCCCCGGACCCCGACCCCGGATCCCGACCCCGGGCCCCCGGCCTGCCCGCTCACCTGTCCCCCATGGCGGCGTCCCCGCGCCTCGCCGCCACTCCGTTCACGCCCGGCCCCGCCGCCCCGGGAGGCCCCGCGCCGGCCCCGCAAGCGGCGTCCGCATGGCGCAGGCCGGCGAGCAGCGGCGAGCGGAGCCGGGGAGGCGGCGGCGCGCGCTCAGCCAACCCGGGCCCTGCAGGCGCCGCTCACGGGCACGCGCGCCCCCGGGACCGTTAGCTGAGACGCCACGCCACGCCCCCAAGGCCACGCCTCTTTCAGACACGTCACGCCCAGCGCGGCCCTGAGTGGAGCAGCCTTCTGGCCCCGCCTTCTTCCCCGCCCCTCAGGCCCCGCCCAACCTGGCCCAGTCCCTTTCCTGCAGCCCAGACCTTCAAACCTTCAGCGGATTGTGCTGCCTGCGCCTCTAGTGTAAAGCAGCGTTTCCCTGTATAGAATCCAAAAGTGCCTTGAAACGCAGAAACCCATGTCTCTACGGCCTTCAGCGCTGATGCTCCTATGAAGGCATGGCCACATCAAATGTACTGTGGCCTCATCATGAAAGTGAACCAGTGGTTGCAGAAGATTTGTATCTTACATGGCTTCATTTCAGGCTTTGTTTCAGTGATTCAGTGTGCAAGAAGAGTCGACAGCAAAGTAACACCGTCCAGGAGCATACACATAAATAGCCCCTTCAACATTTTAAAAAGACGTGTAACTTACTTGGCGAGGTTATCTTACACCACCAGAGCCTCGGGGCTTCCCGTCACAACCCAAACGCTGTGGAACTGGGGTATGAGCTGGTGGAACTGTCCCGCGGCTGTAACTAAAGCTGCCTTCAAACTGGGAAGTGGCAGAGCTTGGGAAGCCTCCAGTGAATATAGACCCTTCCTTTGGCTTGTTTCTCAAAGATGTGGATGTGATGCATTAGAAGGACAAAACCCACATCTATTAATGCTACCTCGTATTAGCTCTGGTTCTCTAAAGGACCAGAATCAGCAGAAAATGCGTGTATAATTATGCAAGGGACTTATTAGGCATACAGGATCAGAGGCTTAAGAATCAGCGGTGTCACCGAGGCTTTGGAGGGCCAGTAACTGCTCGGCCCGAGAAGGAAGCTGCAGAGCAAGGGTCAAGGACGCAGTGCCAGTTCAGGTTCCAAGGCCTGGGAGCTCCCTGGAGAGTCAACTGCGTTGCAAGGTTGAAGAAACAGCAGCCAGATGGAAATAGGCATGCTCCCTTCTTTCCCTGGCTAGTCCCTCTGGCTATTGGTTGGTGCCTAGGTATCAGGGGCGGGCCTTCTCCCCCCAGTTTGTTGGCCTATATGTCAGTCATCCACAGACACACCCACAGCAGGGTTTTACTACTTGATTGGTCATTTCTTAATTCATTCAAACTGAAATATCATGATTAAGGGGCACAGTTATGAACAAATAAAGTTATGTACTTATTTTAAATACTGTGAGTGGAATCCTTCCTCCAAAAAGTATTACCGAGAACTCATCATCGGTAATAGCCTTCCGGCTGTTGTATCTGCCCTCTTACGGTGTCAAAAAGGACCGTGATGTGTGTAGGGCATTCATACTTTCCCTACTTGGAACAGGTGAGCGTGTTCAGTCAATTAGTAGAAAACACAATGTCAAGCCAGAAATCTGTAATAGGCCAATATTTCTTTAATCGGACAGATATGTATAAACAAATGCACCAGAATGTCAACAGACAGAATTACTTTTTCCTCTGTCAAGTGACACCTGCCTCTGCTCAGTCTCCAACATTTGGAAACAGCCCCTGCTACAGTGTCACAGCACACAGACTTCAGGATATATCCTTTGGTTAAAATATTCCAGTGTGAACCCTTGATTCTACTGAATTTCCTTTTGCGTTTTTCTCCGGAGCCCAACAGGATGTGTGAACAATGGAATCTAGGGGCAGGGTTGAGTATTTGAGAGACAAAAGAATGACCTCAACCACATATGAGGCAGATTGAGGGGAAGAGACTGGTCAGAAGACGTTTTTGACTCTGGAGCTCAGCATGCCAGGGTACATCTTAAAAGGCTAATTGGCATGGCAAATACAGAACTGAATCTCACTCATTTTGAATATGGAATTCAGGAGAGATGTCGAAGCCAAAGAGACTGGGGGTCATTTGTTTAGTCTTTCTGATGCTACTGCATCCCAGCTGACCCTTATCAGACACCATTCTGAATCACAGCATGACAACAGTGAACAGGACAGTCTTCACATGGCTGTTTAGCGGTACAGAGTGTCAGCTTCATGGGATAAAAAGAGATCTGGAGATGATTGGTGCTAACATTACACAACATTATGAATGAATATTTAACAAATGGCTCAACCTGATAACCTCAGTAAATGTAAACATTACATGTCATAAGCATGAGCTAATATGCAATTATATCAACAAGGAAAATGGAGAAAGGAGACGTAGAGAAATAAATAGGAAGGTTGCAGGGGAGGGGAAGAGGAAAGAAACAGAACCAAACTGTATTGTGTCCCTGCACCCACTCTGCAGGGTGGCTGTAAACTACACGTACCATAACCGTACACTAATAAAAAGTGGTTCCAGTGTAAATCTTAGGTTTTGTGCATTTTACTACAATAAAATAATGTTTACAAGTAGCTCAGAGGCACTAAAGAGGCTGATGACAAGAGCTGCTGATGGCTGGCAGAGGGAAAGTTGTAAGGCATCTAAGAGCCAGTAAGGCACTTATTATACCCTGTCGGGCAGGTAATGCCAAGACACTGCAAAAGCCTGCAAGGCCAGGAAGAGCAAAAACGAACTTAGCAACTAATAACTGAGAAAAAAGAAAGTAGAAAAATATTAAGAAGGCATTCATAATTGAGATTCGTGAAAGAGAGTCACCAAGTACTGTAGGTTTTGTGTACTAGTTTCTGAAAGCACGTAGATGGTTTCCAATCTACATTATCTAAAGAAATGGTGGGATTATTTTGACAAAAGCTATCATTAGGATATGAAATTCAACAGAAAAAATGAGCAAACTAGGAATTCAACTTTAGTAACAATCTTCAGGGGTTCAAGGAGTGGAATAATTTTCCAGAGTCATACACCTGGGAAACAGCAGGGCCAGGACTGGAACCCAGACCTGACCTGAAACTACAGCCTGCTTCCATGCTGGAAGGGGCTGGCCTGCTAACTGTTACTAGAACATAATCAACATCTTTTTATGAAAGTACAAAAGCTAATTGTCTTGGTTATTTTTCTCTCATTGCTGAGACAAAATACTGGATGCCCAAAATGAAGGAAGGAAAGGTTTATTTAGCACACAGTTTGTATATCCAGCAGCTGGCTCCAAGGCAGGGTGACTTGGCAGAGGGGCGGTAGTTCATGGTGGCAGAAGACAGGAAAATCAACAGGAGCAAAAAGAGAAGAGCACAGAGAGAAGACTCTTTCTGTCCCTTATATTGTATGTAGGCCACACCCATCCCAGCAGGCACAACCATACTCCTAGTGTTGGACCATGAAAATCACAGATTCTAGAAGCCTGCCCCCATGACCACATGAGATTTTAGGAGGCGATCCAGACATAAACCATAACAGTAATCAAAACCTCTAAGCTCATGGTTATATTCTTAAAACGGGAAACAATAAGTGAGCAGGCAAATGATATACAAATTCTTCCTATAATGTCAGATATGAATAAATACTATTTAAGGCCCAGAGCAGTACATTCAAGCAAAATAACAGAGCAAAGAAGGCTGGTGGTTATAGAATTTTTCTGAGATATGACCTGAAGGAAATGGAGGAAGTTGAGATGACACTGGAAAAAAAAGTTTATTTGATTAAAAATGGAGAACAAGAGATGCCCTTTCACACTTTCAGGATCTTTGACACAGATGTGTAAAACGGCCTTCTGCCCCATCAGCCACTTCCGGTTTCTTCCTCTCTGTCACACATCAGAGTTGGAGTTGGTGTCTGTTTTGTATATCAATGACTTCCTATAGTTGGAAAGGGGCCTTAACTTAGAAGAGGTGCTCAACAAAAAGTAAGGAAAAAGTGGAAAGAAAACAGGAAGAGAGGAAGGCAGCAGGGAAGGGAAGAAAGAGAGAAAGGGAAATAAGGTCTGTAAAATAGGAAAGCAGAAAGAAGTCAGTCCTCACATTATTCACAGTTGTGTTGACACAAAAACACTTCGAACATTACTATTAATTAAGGGCTTTATATGATCTCCATTTTTAATGGTACATACTATTATTTCACATTTTTATCATTCTAAAAATCTCTCCTCTAATTTCTGCTTAATATTCCACAAAGAAGAAATATCCTGGCCCACCTAACCATACTGATGTGTACATTGATGTGTAATTTTAATTTTTCAAAATTACAAACATTTTAATAAACATCTTGGTTCATGAACTTTTACCACAACTGATGATGAGATAGAAATTTGCAAAGCTCAGTGTATACTGAAGAATGCTTAGCTGAACCTTAACTCATTCTGCAGGAGCAGATTCACAAGCATATTACATAAGACATCAAAACCCTAGGCCTATCCTTTAGAGTAAGTCCCCGTTCACAGCGCAGCGGTGGTATTTCCTTTGTCCTCTCCCTAGGCCTTTCTGGGAATGAATATGTAGACAAAAACCCTATTTGCATATCACAGACTCTATTGAGATGTCCCTTCAAAGTCTCTTGCGGTCATGGAGGGCAGACTTTTCAGAGGCAGCTGAATCTAGAGTTTGTGATTGGTTCATTGCCTAGTGCTGGGACTGGGGGTGTGAGTGCCACACATACCCTGGGGCAGGCAGCCTGCCTACAATATAAGGGAAGAAAAGAGGCTTGCTCCTCTCCTTCTGTTCTTGCTGCTCCTGGTATCTTTTGCCACCATGAACTGTTGCCCCTGTACTTTCCACCCTGCTTGGAGCCATCTGATTATGGACTGAAATCTCCACAAACTG